ATAAGGGGTGAATTAAAGTGGATTGGCACTTTTATGCCCTTAAATTCCAAACCAATTCCGTTTTTGTCCGCAATCTTAATGAATTCCTTTTCTATTGTTAAATTGTTAATTTCTATCCAATTCAATTCTCTGCAACCACGTGACCAGAGTCTGAATTTACTTTAATGCCGTTTAAAGGAATCATTTGTTGTGGAGTTAATGCCTTTTAATTAACATTGAATTCTTTAAAGGGCATTAAAGGGGTTTCAAATTTTGGTCACGTGGTTACAGAGAATTGAATTGGATAGAAATTATCAATTTAACAATAGAAAAGGAATTCATTAAGATTGCGGACAAAAACGGAATTGGTTTGGAATTTAAGAGCATAAAAGTGCCAATCCACTTTAATTCACCCCTTATTACTGGGAGATTAATTCCGGACTTAAATCGGACTAATTTCACATTTGCAAGTTGCATATTATCAGACTAACTTCGGACTAGATTGGACTCATTCCGGATTCACTGGATATACAAAAACCGTATTGAGTTTGGATTTATCCGGGCTAATTCTGAGGGACAAAAACCTGACCATAAGCAGACTGTTTCGGATTAGCTGCGGATTCACTGGTTAAACCAATCGGATTACTTCTGCATTTACTATTATGATCTGACTAACTTCGGACTAAATCGGACTAATAACGGATTCAATAGTTATAAAAAACTGTATTAAGTTCAAACTTAATTCAGGGTGAAAAAACTCCACAATAAACCGTATTCTTGCGGAAAAATTCTGGATTGGTCCGAAATCGGTCCGACTTTTTGTTCAAGGTATTTACTTATGATAGATAAAATATTTACTTCGGCAGTCAATTTGTTTTTACAAATTCACTAGTATTATTGGTTATCTTTTTTTAATATTATAATTAACACTGATGTGTTAGTTTTTTGTAATTTCTTTTCGTGGCACTTCATAAATTCTATTATGAATTTGAAATCCTATGTGAGCGTGGTATAGTGGTTAGTGTATTCGATTTCGGTGCGTTATAATGTTAGATAGGTGTAGGTTCGAATCCCGAAGCGTTAGAAATTTTAAGTTAATGTAGATAAAATTGCGATAGGTATATCGAAAAATATGTTGATGTACCATAAAGTAATGATAATTAATATGTGTAATAATAATTATTTTTTTTATTAACATTCACTAAATTGTCCGGTCTAATTTTTGACTGTTTCGGACTAATTCCGGATTCACTAGTTAAAATTAACTGATTAATTTCAGACCTTATCCGACCAACTTCGGATTTACTAGTTGTTCACAAACCGTATAGAGTTCGGATTTATCCGGATTAATTTCGGGTGACAAAAACCTGACCATAAACCGCACTGTTTTGGACAAATTTCGGATTAGTCCGAAATCTGTCCGGTTTTTTAACCAGGGAGATTTACATGAAAAAGTAACTTCAATTTTTAGAAAAGTTTCACGCTAAACATTTATTAAAGTGGAACATGTAAACCTTTACACAATTAACTATATTAATTTGAATGTTCTTTCATTCTTTCATTCATTCACTTTTTCTGTCCCTCACACTCTGAAGCTGTCTTTTGTTTATACTTTTGTTTTTGTAATCTTTAGATAACTAGAAAATTTTACGCGCGGAACGTGATATTCAATTTATTATTGTTATGCAAATTACAAATATTTTTAATCTTCAAATATAAATTTTTAAAATAATTTCATAATCAAAATTTAAAAAATTCACTTATTAAGTACAAAATTAATTATTACAGTTCATATTTTCTAAAATTTTAATAAATCCTTCGAAAAAGTTCAATTATTTTTATAAATAGTAAAATTCTTCACAAGAATTAAATTACTTTTTAATCAAATTTAAATAAAATTACATGAAAGAATTTAATTATTTTCAAACATTTCCATAAAATGCAATTTCAACAAGAATTTAAAATTCTCTAAAAATAGTTCAATTATTTTCAAAATATTTTTAAAAAATTCTATATAAAAATTAAATTACTTTCAATGCAATTTTTAAATATATTCGTCAAAAAATAATTGAAAGAATTCAATTATTTTCAAAAAAGTAATAAAATTCTTGTGATGAATTCAATGATTTTGAATATACATAATTTTAATAAAATTCTTTAAAGAAATTCCATTATTTTCGAAACAACTTTAATTGAATTTCTCGAAAAAATTTTATTATATTTTAAAATATTTCTATAAAATTCTTCATAACAATTTAATTATTTCTTAAAATTTTTAAAAATTCTCGCGAAACATTTTAATTATTTTTTATAAATAGTAAAATCTTTCTCAACAATATTCAATTATTTTTTTCAATAGTAAAATCTTTACAAAAATCCAATGATTTTTAAAACAACTTTAATTAAATTCCTCGGATGAATTCAAATATTTTTAAATATTTCCATAAATTTCAATTATGTCCAAAAATTTTAATAAATTCTTCAAAACAATTTTTATAAATATTAGTAAAATTCTCAGGAAGAATTCAATTATTTTCAATTCACTTTTAATAAAATTCTTCTTCATAAAATTCAAATGCTTTCAAAATTTTCAATTAAAATTATTACTCCATTAGTTTAAAAAAAAATTCAAAGAAATTCTTCAAAAGTATTTAATTAGGATATTTAAAATTTTTAATAAAATTCTTTGTGAGAATTCAGTTTTTTTCCTAAATAATAAAATTCTCTGAAGGAATTCTATTATCATCAAATTTTTTGATAAAATTCTTTGCAACAATTCGATGATTTTCAATATATTAATTTTAAAATTGAAAATATTTGAAAAGAAAAATTATAAAAAAGTTAATAATAATGCAATTTATTTTGCATTATTTTTGTTTATGAATCACAATTTATTTAACAAAATTATTATTTTGTTTTAGAAAAAGAAGAAAAATATTTGCAAAATTCCTATTTTTTTAATCTTATTTTTAGTGTGTTCTAGTGTGTTAAATTTAAAAACGATCCGATAAGTTTTTCAAGAGTTATCATGGGAACAACATTTTGTGTCTACAGACAGACAGACGAACAGACAGACACCATCGCCGGACCATGTTTTTCGGGTTCAGGGGACCCCAAAACGTAAAGATTTCATAAAATTAGCAAAAGTCAATTTTCGACCAAAACTAATACCTTCTCATGTGATGAGAATGTAAAAAATGTTTTCATAGTTTTTGGTCCGTTTTTGGAAATTTTGACAGAGTTTTTTTTCTGCCGAAGGTTCTTTTAATTTTTTTGTATTCTTTACGGATAAATAAACAAATTTGCTACAGATAATTTTTAAATAAAATATAGGCGTCATGGAGTTTTTTAGCTTTGAAATTTGAAAAAGAATAGCGTTTTCACCGTTTGTGAAATTTTTTTCGGAAAAAAGTTTAAATGTTAAATGAATTTTTTTGATTAATTTTTGTAATAGCTAAAAGAAAATTTCATCACCCAAAAGTTAAACCCCCCATTGTTTCAAAATAAAAAATATTTTTGAAAAATTCTGAATTCACTTTAATGCCGTTTAAGGGAATTATTTGTTGTGGAGTTAATGCATTTTAATTAACATTGAATTCTTTAAAGGGCATTAAAGGGGTTTCAAATTCTGGTCACGTAGTTACAGAGAATTGAATTGGATAGAAACTATCAATTTAACAATAGAAAAGGAATTCATTAAGATTGCGGACGAAAACGGAATTGGTTTGGAATTTAAGAGCATAAAAGTGCCAATCCACTTTAATTCACCCCTTATTACTGGGAGGATATCTATCAAAAAACATATCAAACACGAATATCGGAGACAAGTTTTTCAAGTGGCTGTTTTTACTTATTTTGCGACCCTATTAAAAGTATGACAACTAGTAAAGAATAAATTGAGATCCTAAAAAAAATTTCCATAGCTTAATGGTATCGAAATTTTAACATTTTACCTGTCTTTCCCCCTTAATACATTTACAAGTAATTTTATTATATTTCTAAGCATAAAAAACAAACATGTACAAAAGTTTGAAATTTGAAAATATAAATTAATTAAAATTTATATAACAATTTCGAAATTATTAGCAAGTGGGGTATTTATTACCCAAACAGTAAAAGATGGGGTTGGGTGCAATGACCTACGCCCACTATTAAAAACAACAATAAATATTATGTAAAACGATATCAAAATATTTTTTAAAATAAGATTATAAAGTGCAATATGTGGAAGCTATTAAAGTAGCAGAAACATTTAATTTGTTTGTATTTTCGATAATATTGTCGTCCACTGTACCCTTTACTATAAAAAATAAATTAAAAGTTTCTTTATAATCGGTTCTTGAAGAAAATGTATTTAATAAAACGAGTTTAATTAAAATGATTTTAGGACTTGTAACAAAAGCGTACGTTACTTGAAAAAAGAAATTTATAAAATTATGAAAATTATGAGAAATATTTTTACATAATATACAATCAACCAAAAATTTGTTCGTAAAATGGAATTTAGTCTGCTACATTGTCTTCTGCTCGTCTAAGTTATAGTAAAGTAAGAGCAGAAGACTTTGGAACAACAGCCAATGAAATAATTGCGAAATAGAATTTAAAAGAATTTCCAGTTAACGGATAATGGCGATTGGTTGTAAGTTGTCTACTGCTTTGGGGGGTCTCACTCAATCGCTGTTTTGCGACTGCGTACAGCGACTCTAGTGAGAGGCCGTGGAAGATTGCGCGGAAAACTTATGGCTCATGGTTCGCGTGACCGACCTCAGATTGGAGCAATGCACGTTACATAACACCGGGTGGCCGGCTCACTTTTTACAAATTCAAGAGCAAAAAAAGCAGGGAAAAATGATTTTTTAGCAGATAAAGATCAAACACATCATTATGATTTTATTTACAAAAAAATATTTCCCACAAATTATTTCATCATTTCGAAAAAATACCAATTTGGAAAAATAAAAGAAAAAATTTTTTTTTTGCATGAATGAAAAAAGTTTTTCTTTTGAAAAATAAATTCTTACCAGTCTCTGCTTCATTCTTCTTTCCGTTGGTCAATGGAATTTTAAGATTTCCTTTCTCTCCATGCTCTCCTGCTTCCAATTGTGAACCCAGAGTCATGCTTTTCACTGGATTTTCAATCGGTTTTCAGCAATTACGAAATTAATCCTTCCCACAAAGACGAAAATTCGACTCTTGTTTTGAAGAATATTCCACTTGTATATTACACACACTCTTTAATGTCTCACGATTTAACGAGAAAATGTTGTGAAATTTTCGAACGACAAAGAGAGTAATATGCACGAGCAAACAACCGATAGAACTAATGAGGAGATAACTGAGTCCAATATCCGCAGATCTGGATAGTGACTGCTTCTTTAAAAAAAAAACTTCTTTACGTCGTTTACGATTTTCGTGACACTATCTCTCTCTGACCACTCGAGCAATTCAAAGTATTAAAAGCTCCAAGAGCCGAGAAAAACGGTAGCACTTGCAGCAGAATTGGACTGCACGTGCACATGTGTGTTTAAATGTATTTGGACCAAAAAAAGAGAACATTTTACCAAGGTTCACATAAAAGTAAGGATGGGTCATTGAATTCAAATTTTCTACAACACTCAACAGGGATGGGTAAATGTAAGAAAATGTACGTGTTTAAGGTACATTTACACGTTTGGTAAAAAAAATAGTTTTTTTATGAAATTGCGTTCACACCCCGCTTTTTCAATAGCAAATCTATCTCTATCGGGAATTTTGAAATCTAAATTTAATTTATAAAATATAAACAATATTTATATTTTGTCAGTAGAATAATTGTGATATGAATAAATCTTTATAATTAGCGATAATCCGATAATGTAGCTTATTGTTACCCAAATAGCTCGTAACCTTGCAGCAACATTGCGGCAATGATTCACAATTGTACAGTAACATTTATGTAATATTGAATGACAATGTAGCTTTAAACATTGAAAATTTACTGTGTAATACTTTGGTAATATTACAGCAATGTTAAGGCAACCTTACCGTGCAATATTAATTTTATTACATTTTATTACATTACAGCACAACATTGCTAACATTGAATTTCGTGAGTGCAAGAGAGATAGTCAGATATCACTATCCTTTCCACTCTCACGAAATTCTACTTTGCATTGTGTTTTCTGCTCAACATGGGACTGTACCCTGAGTTTTAAAGGTTTATTGAAGGCAGCTGATTTGTTAAATAATTGGATCAATATGCCATCTGGTGGTTACCTCCATTTTCCTTCTCTATCTTTTTTTAAAAAGTACGATGAAAAGAGAAAAAAATTTTAATGGAGGACCGGAGTAGGTAAAAGTTACTAGATTATCACTAGACCACCAATCCCAATATTTTAAGTAATTATATTTTTCAATATTATATACACATATTATTTATTTTATTAAAGTCCAACGCACAATAGGTTCGCGAAAGTCGTTCGCGAACGAGATGCATGAGATAGACAAGGACACAAATATATCTCTGTCCTTTTCTAACTCATGCTTTGCGTTCGCGAACGACTTTCGCGAATCTATTGTGCTTAGGCCTTAATACAATGTCAAATAAAAATTGTACTAGCTGTATATAAACAACTAGTACAATATTTATTAAATTTGTGACGTACTGGCAAGTAATATACCTAATAAGCAAAGAATTTTAGGTTACGTTAACAATTTTTTGAGTAAAAATACAAAAGAGAATCAATTACTATTACAGTTTACAAATTATTGATGTTCAAGGCTTCATCACAACCAAAATATTAAATAAAAATGGTTTGAAATTGACATAATTAAAAAGAATTAAATTTAGATTTCAAAATCCTCGAAAGAAATAAATTTTCATTTTTTGTCAAAAAAATTGCGTGTGAACGCAATTTTAAAAAACAAAAATTTTCCTACCCGGTAAGAAGCGTAGAATAGAAAAGAATTCAATTTCTAGAAAATATGCTTGAAAACGAGAATTTTGAATTATTCTGAATACGCGAATTTACCTCAGGGTGGAGTCCCATAACAGCGTTTTGCGTTGCGTCGTAATGGGAGAGAAAAAGACGCAAATATACGTTTGCTGCATTCTCTCTCATTACAACGCAACGCAAAACGCTGCCATGGGACTGCGGCCTCAGGCTGGAGTCCCATGGCAGCGTTTTGCTTTGCGTTTTGTAACTAGGCCATGAGTGCAAATATAGCGAACGTATATCTCCATCTCTCTCACACGCATGGCCTAGTTACAAAACGCAACGCAAAACGCTGCCATAGGACTTCACCCTCAGAGTTCTATTCCACGGGAACCATCAAAATTTCAGAAAAATCAATTCTTCTCTATTGCTCTCGTCGATCGGGAGATAGAAAAGAATTCAAATTTTCTATTTTTCCTAATGCGCAAAGTTTTATGGTATTGCAACAGGAAGGAAGAGTAAGGAGACCGAACTCTGTGTAGAAAGCGCTTTAAAAATCTCAGAGAAATATGCACGAAAAGTGCCAGGCTCACTGCGTTCTAGTCGACCTCCAATTAAGTTGATCATGCGCATAAGCTGTGTTGTGTCTCTGTTTCTCGTAAAAATTGTGCGAGTGAGATGTAAGATCTAATGTTTACATTTAGCCGGTCTTAGTGAGATACATACATAATTATACAATACATTTCGTTTTAATAATTATTTATTTATTTTATTTAAAAAATGTCGTGTTGTCTGCCAGGATGTAAAGAAAGAAAAAGAGTGTAAAAACATTAGTCTCTTCTATCCTTCTACGGTATGTAAATATACTCTAGTTATAAACACAATTCTTCTTAACCATTTTCGCAAAATTTTTCCCTTTTCATGAATATATTATTAAATTATTTTGAAAATCTAAATAATATCACAATTGCAAATAAATAAATTTGCTTTTAAAATTAACACTGTTTAAACTATGTAATATTTACCTTGACATAACCACACTTTTCATCTATGTCAACAGTCAACACTGAACTTTAGTTCAATGCGCATGATCGACTTAATTGGTGATCAACTAGAACACGGTGAGTCTGGCACTTTTCGTGCATATTTCTCTGACATTTGTAGAAGCAGAGTTCGGTCTCCTTACTCTTCCTTCCTGTATTGCAAGTTCTTGAAAAAATTATGAAGTTCTATTCTTGTGAATTGACTGCTAACGATTCTAGGTAGTCAATTCAAAAGAATAGAATGTTCGACGAGTAAATCTGAAATGTTTATTATTCTCAATTGACTGCATCAAATTTCAGAAGCGCATTAAAAGGAATAGAACTTTTGACAAACAATTTGAAAAAACCTAATTTTTCTAATTGTCTGTAAGAGCTTCTCTAGTTATTGTCTTAAAATAAAACGCAGTGACAGTTATGTATTTCGCGTCGTGTGAATTTCATTGTAATTTCAGTGCTAAACTATTAAAAGTAAATATTAAAACTACTGAAAATATGGTTAAAAAACGCAATGTGCTTACGATAAAATATAAAATGATACTGAAAGGAATTTTCATGTATTCAATGTTTAAGTCAAGTTTTGAAACCTAACCTCACTTTCTAGTGGAATCTTGAGTGGCAGTGAGTTAATTCAGAGGAATAGAAATTTCTACTGATTTGCTGTACTTTCTCATTCTTTTGAATGCGCGTTTCATATTTTTGTGAAGTCAATTCAGAATAATAGACTTTTCTGAAATTTTGGTCGTTTCCGTGGAATAGAGCTCCGAGGTAAATTCGCCTATTTTGAATTCTTTTCAATTCTTCGCTTTTTACCGGGAATGATAAGATTGGAAATCCATGTTAAAACAAGTCGAAACAAAAATTGTAGAGGACAATCCAAGATAGAACCATTTCAATTTTATCTTATGGATATCCGTTTCAGTTACATAAATAGGATTTCCAAGTTAAAACCAGTAGAATTGCTACAGGGAAAAGTTTTTCAATTTGGAAAGCAAGTTGACACTAGTAGATCCATGTTCAATTTCTACTAGTCTCAACTGGTTCTTTAATATATAGGGATAAAAAAGCATTTTTCCATATAGGCACAAAAGTGAAGTTACATTGTTTTTTATAAAGTGTTTATAGTTGTGATAAAAGTATTTCAGTGTAAGCGTTATATAGAAACGTTTAATTGGCATTTAAATGTTTAAAAAAAGTTTAAAATTCCCAGGTAGCATGTAGTCTTGCAAAAATCTTCAGTTTTAGTCCTGAGCATGAGCTGCTGCTAAAGCTTGAAACGTTGACATAAAATAAAAAGGTTTTTTAATCTTTATCTTCGTTAGTTTCTTCAAAGATCTAAAGTTGCTTGTTTTTTATTCTATTTACATTTTATAAATAGAATAATAATAATTATTATTCATTTAAATCAATTAGAAAATAAGGGGGTTTTCGGGGTATCTGATTACGAATCTAAAATCAGATTTTAAAAATTCAAAATGGCGGTCATTTTTTCAACATTTATCAAATTCACTTAAAACGTTAAAACTTGTTATTCTGGGGTTTTCGGGGTCACAATTTTTAATTTTTTTAAATCTGACTTTAGATTCGTAATCAGTGACCCCGAAAACCCCCGACTAACAAATTTTATGCAAATTAAATTAATTTTGAAAAAATGTCCGCCATATTGGATCCGCCATTTTAAATTTTGTAACTAGACTATAAGTGTGAGAGAGATACAGATATATGTTTGCTCTATTTGCACTCATGGACTAGTTACAAAACGCAACGCAAAACGCTACCATGGGACTCCACCCAGAGACACCTTTAGGCCAACGCAGAATGAATACGGTTACGGGAACAGGGCATGAGAAAGAAAAGGACACACAGCTTCTATCATCATTTGTATTTGCATGCCCTGTTCCCGTATCCGTATTCATTCTGTTTAGGCCTTTATTTTGACCTAAATTTTGAAAGTAAGAATAACTATTTGTTGGAATTTTAAAAAATTGAATGTTTATTTGTTCGAATAGCTAAAAGTTCGAATGTCTAGTTGTTCAAATTTCCAAAAGTTATAATGTTTATTTGTTATAATTCTGAAATGTTAGAATGTTCTTATGTTAGAATTCTATTTAAGCATGGCTATTTGAACAAATAAACATTCGAACTTTTAATAATTCTAACAAATAAATATTAGAACTTTTAAATTTTAACTTTTAGAATTTAGGCTATAGGACTGTACCTTAAGGGTGGTCACCGTTAAAGGCCAACGCAGAATAGAATCTTTAACCGAAACCGCAATCGTAACCGCGAGAATGAGTTAAAGAAGGATAGGTATATTATTGTTTATCCTTCTCTAACTCATTCTTACGCTTACGGTTACGATTGCGGTTCCGGTTAAAGATTCTATTCTGCGTTGGCCTTAAGGGTCGTTCCAGAATAAGAAAAAAACAAGGAAGAACGCAACGAAGACGCGTCGCGTCCCCATTTGATTAGCATTGGGACGCGTTGCGTCTTCGTTGCGTTCTGCCTTGTTTTTTCTCATTCTGGAACGACCCTAATTAACGTTATTATGTCGTCCAAATGCCGATATGAAAATTTTTATTGGAGAATAGTCTTTATTAAATGTTATTGAAGGAGCATCATCTTATTACTTGCAACTTGGTAACCTGTATTACATTTATTCATAATTATACATTTTTAGATAATTAACTTTAATCGTTTAAAAGATATGAGAGCAATTATAAAATTATAACAAACCAGCAAATGTTACGCGCGCTAACGCTCGGAACGTGATATTCAATTTATTATTATGCAAATTACAAAATTTTTTATTTTCAAATATGAATTTTTGAATTATTTTAGATTCAAACTTTAAAAAATACAATTAATAACTAATTTACTAATTAACTATTCTTGTTTATTAATTTGAAAAATTTTAATAAAATTCTTCACAAGAATTCAATTATTTTCATAAATATAAGAACATTCTTCGTAAGAATTCAATTCTTTTTAAAAATAGTAAATTTTTTTGCAAAAATTTAATGATTTTCAAACAAAATTTCACAAAAGAATTCAGTTTTCTTTAATTTTTAATAATATTTTTCGAAAAAATTCAATTATTTACTAAAATTCTAATAAATCCTTCAAAACAATTCAATTATATTTATAAATAGTAAAATTATTTGCAAAACATCAATTATTTTCAAAAAAATTCCACGAAAGAATTAAATTTTTTTTCTTAATTCGTTCTAAAATTTTTCAAAAGAATTCAATTATTTTCTAAAATTTTAATAAAATTGAATAATTAAATGTTTAATATAAATTATCAACAAACACGATTATTTAAAAAACTTGAAAGAAATTGTTCATAAAATTCAATTACTTTGAAAATTTTTAATTAAAATTATTAAAAAAAACTCCATTATTTAATAAAAAATTCTAAGAAATTCTTCAAAAAAAATTTAAATAGAATTTTTGAAAATTTTAACAAAATTCTTGGCGAGAATTCAATTATTTTTCTAATTAATAAAATTCTTCCAAGGAATTCTATTATAATCAAATTTTTTGATAAAATTCTCTGCAACAATTCGATGATTTTCAATACATTAATTTTAAAATTAAAAATATTTAAAAAGAAAAATTTAAAAAAAAAGTTAAGAAACAAACGCAGCGTATTCAGTACCGTATCACGTATCCGACCTTGGCTTGTGATCTGCCCTTAAATTCTCACGAGAATTACCTGCTCAACTCTGTCCAGCACGTAACGTAACACTGTGTTTCGGCCTAATGGTAAGTATGGTCATTAAACAAGAAAAAGTATATTCATTGGCACTGGCATCTGTTGTCATCTCCATTTCAAAAATTCTGGACTGCAAAAAATGCATTGCATTTTTTCATTACATTATCGATTAATAGTAAGTTCCAACCTGCAACTAATTTTTTTATGACACTGCTCAATTCTTGTCCATTGACATTGTGAAAATAAAGTAAAAAATTACTTTAACATTCAGAATCGGCCTAATAATTATCAATAAATCTGACAAAAGTGACACGTTGTCTGGTAGAGTTGTAAAATTTTGGAGGAATTGCATAAAAATAAGAGTGCCGGATTAGAAAAATAATATGGACGCTGATGCTGAATCTTGTTTAAACGATTGGAATGATTTGGCGCGAGATTACAAAGAACTTGAGGTGAGTGTTCAGTGTAATGTTTAACTCCCTATTATCATAGACACCAATTATTATCAACAAAACAAATTCCAACTTGTTATTGTAATCAAATAGTAAGACTATTTCCTTATAATTTATTAATAATTAAATTTTATCGAAATTGTTTTTAAAAACAAATTTTTGTTATTTTATGTGTAAATTAAAAGAAACTTTATCAATTCAAGTCAATTTACCTTCACTTAAATACAACGGAGTGTCTATTCGGCCAGTTAACTGTCAAAATAAGGTGGTTTAAATATTCTACCAGTGAACTGGCAGAATAAGTTAGTTTTCTTATTTGGCCAGTGTATCTAAAAAAATATACAATTAATATCTAAATCAGGCCAAATAAAAAAGGGACTCTATTTGGCCAGTCAAAATAAACAGTTTTTAATATTTCAAAATACGGGCAAGCTGACATTTTGATAAATTAAAAAAACAACCAAATAAATGAAGTAGAGACAATTTAACAAAAAGGGTGCAAAGGTGAAAAAGTAAAATCAGGGAAATGACAGAAAACAAATTTTTTTGGTAGGTATAAATTAAGAAAATTGAGCCATTTTTCGATTTATTTTCGAAAATTGCAACAAAATACCTCATCTTTTAGTATAAAATGCAAATTATTTTCATTTTATAGTGCGAAAAAAAACTATAACAAATTTTTTAAAAATTATTCTTGAATCATTTTTTAAAACAATTGAAAACAATTATTTCTTTCAGGTATTTTTTTACAATTTTTGAAAATCAACTTTTGAAGAATTTTCATTGTAAATTTTGAAAATTATTGAATTATCATAAATTTCATGAAAATTCTTTAAATGTAAATTTAAAAATGAAAATTAATGAAAAATAGCTTCTAATTTTTTAAAATTCAATATTTTCAATTAAGTACATATTTCTAAAAATTCAGATATATACAAAAAGTAATAACATTTTAGAATTATTTTTAACATTTTGGAGAAAAAAAAACGTGTTCAAAATTTTTAATTAAAATTCCATAAGAAATTAATTAGTTTTTTTTTAAATTATACAAAAATTCTTTTAAGAAATTCAATTATTTTTGAAAAATTACATTAAAATATTATTAAAAACTAATTCTTCGAATTGTTTTATCATAATTTTTTAAGATTAAATTATTTTCGAACAAAATAAATAAAAATTGATAAAAATTTACTGTTTTAGATTTTGTTTAAATTTCTGAGAAATGATGGTCATATTTATAAATAAAATTCTTCAAAATTTCGATTATTTTTATTTAGATACTTTTTTCAAAACTTCAATTATTTTTAGAAGATTTTCAATTGTATATAATTAAAAAACTATTATCTTTCAAAAATTATTTTAAAATATTTTTAAAAAATTAATTTTAAGAATTAAAAGAATTAAAAATTTGTTGTAATTTTTAGAAAATATTATACCTTAATAACTTAAGAAAAAAACATGGACAATTACAATTATTATAAAAAATTTACTTTTTGAGTCATTCCATTATATTTCGACTAAAGTCGTTGCTGACTAATTTTAAAAAATTATAATATTTTGCAGGAATGATGTTAAAGATATTAGGATCACCGAACAAAAAGAATTTTTTAAATATTTTTTATATTTATTGTAAAATAAGCATCTAAAGTATATGAAGTCGTAAAAACTGTCACATTTTCATCTATTAGAAAATATTAAAGAAAACACATAATTTACTATAAAAATGTAAAAAAGTTATAAGAATTTATTAAGAATGAATTGTTTTATTATTATAAATTGATAGAAACAATTATTAATAAGAAATATTAAATAAAAAAGGATTTTAAAGTTCACCTGCCAAATAACCTAATTTTGCAAATTTCATTCACTAAATGTGAGAAAGAGAAATCATTAAATTGAATAAAACCTTATGAAATATAAAGAACCTGTGATTAACTTTTAGTTTTTCTTATCACTTTCTTCCTTTTTTCTTCATAAATGTTAAAAAATAAGCAATTAAAACTGGCACTTTGCTTATTTTCACGATTTTAAAATGCAAATAACTTCTGCCCAGAAAAATGAAAAATTACGAAAATTGGACAATAATTATTTGATCACTAAATACACTCACTGGAAAAAGATTTTCTTTGGTCCCGAAGCTATTTTCCGAAATAATTAATTTTAAACTTTTCACTATTTCTATCAGGTTAATACATGTGATTTTTTTAAAACTGAAGTTGGTTCAAAACGATTAAACAAGAAGAGCTAACTTCGTCCTTTAAAAAACACATGTATTAACCTGATAAAAATAGTAAAAAGTTTAAAGTTAATGAATTCGGAAAATAGCTTCGGGACCAAAGAAAATCTTTTTCCAGTGAGTGTATCTAGTGATCAAATAATTATTGCCCAATTTTCGTAATTTTTCATTTTTCTGGGCTGAAGTTATTTGCATTTTAAAATCGTGAAAATAAGCAAAGTGCCAGTTTTAATTGCTTATTTTTTAACATTTATGAAGAAAAAAGGAAGAAAGTGATAAGAAAAACTAAAAGTTAATCACAGGTACTTTATATTTCATAAGGTTTTATTTAATTTAATGATTTCTCTTTCTCACATTTAGTGAATGAAATTTGCAAAATTAGGTTATTTGGCAGGTGAACTTAAAAATCCTTTTTTATTTAATATTTCTTATTAATAATTGTTTCTATCAATTTATAATAATAAAACAATTCTTTCTTAATAAATTCTTATAACTTTTTTACATTTTTATAGTAAATTATGTGTTTTCTTTAATATTTTCTAATAGATGAAAATGTGACAGTTTTTACGACTTCATATACTTTAGATGCTTATTTTACAATAAATATAAAAAATATTTAAAAAATTCTTTTTGTTCGGTGATCCTAATATCTTTAACATCATTCCTGCAAAATATTATAATTTTTTAAAATTAGTCAGCAACGACTTTAGTCGAAATATAATGGAATGACTCTTTTGTATTTGAATAATTAAATTCTAATAGAACTTTCGAAAAATTGTTTAAAATAATTGATGTAGAGATGAAGTTTGGTAGTAAATTATAGAAAATAATTGAATTTAGAAAGGATTACAATTGTTATTTTTGGAAATTATTAAAATTCATAAATTTTACTCATTTTCCGTAAACTTTCATATTTTCCTGTAAAAAAAATTTGTCAGGGAATATAATTTTAATGTCAGTAAATTGTCAGGAAAATTGATAATCTGAAACTTGTGACCACCCTGACAATATATTAGGTATTTTTTGGCCTATTGAAAAGTTATAATTTAAATAACTTTACCGATTTAGGAAGAAATTATAAGAAAACTTCGTGAGACACAAATTTTAGGAAATGTGTGCAGAATAAAAACAAATTGCTTTTTTTCCTTCAAATGTGCATCAAGAACTTCTTCTATACTAACAACAAAAATAACAAAAAGCATAAGGTGCTCCTACTTTATACAAAAATTTTAAACGAAATGTCTATCTTGGGGCTCTTTTCCCTATATATTTATTATTTTTATAATATTAATTATAATATAAATTTTAACAAAAAATTTCTTAATAAGTTTAGTTCATGTCACACTTACAGCAGATTTACCCGTTTTGGAATTTTTTTAAAATTTTTTATAAGATTGGTTAAAATGTTAAATAAACAAACAAACATCCAACAGATATTTATACCTGATGGGCGCTTTATTAATACAATGGCCAAATAGTAAAACCATCTTATTTTGCCAGTGCACTGGCAGAATTATTTAGTCATCTTATTCTGCCATAGCTTTTCCCTTATTTCTAGTTACTGGACAAATAATTAAACCACCTTATTCTGCCAGTTAACTGGCCGTATAGACATGGTCTAAATACAAACTAAAGAATTAAAAATGATCAATAATTTAATAACATTTTCTCTCCACAATAATTGAGATCAGAAATACTTACAATTTAGATTTTATTAAAAACTGCAACAAATGACATTTAACTTAAATGAGCAATTTCACGTGAAATGAATCAAGTAGAAATTTTAATTTCCTGGGGAAGGTTTGAAACCCTGATAAATTGTTATTCTATATCAAAGTAATAAAAACCAAAAAAAATTATAACTTTCTTAAAAATTAATTGTGTAAATTACGCTGATTGCAGTTATGAGGTTATAAGTAAAATTGTTAACTTGAAATCTTATTGTAATATACATTTATTATAAAAACATTAGGTGCAATTAAAAAAATATTTAATTGGTTTCGGTCTTACAAACGTGACAGATGCAAAAAGTTCTCACTTGTGAAACACAAGTGAAATGAACAGATCTTTTGCACTCCTTACACTTGATAGAATTTATATTTATTTATTTTTATTATATTCATTTATTAGAGGAGACTGGGGCGAAAGGTTAAATTTTGCATAAATGATTTTTTTAGACAATATAATCCGCTTAGATACAAATATTTATATATCAATATTGTAGGGCAACTTGTCCTCTACAACTTAGTGTTTTTTAGCTGTTTTTCCTTAAAAAAATGTATAGGTCAAAACGTGGGACAAGAACTTTTAACTGGTCAAATTATGCATTGACTTTTGCAGCGCACCGGCCCACAGTGGAATTTTTTTACAATTTACTGTTAAAAAATGTCTACAGCTTACAATTTTTAACCGATTTGAGTGTTCTTTATTTTAAATTTAAGGGGAATAAATTCTTAAGACATCCCTCGAGGCCGATTTTTGATATTTTAATTGTTTATAATTTTTTTTTAATCAAAGTTAACAAATTAATACACTTTTTTAAAAAATGACGTTTATTTTCTTATTCCGTTGTTGCACATGATCTAAATCAATTCAAATTTATCCAATATGACCACTAGATAATTAATAAAGCATAAAATAATTTATTTCAATTGTTATAAACAATATACAGTCCAACAACGCGCAGGGCCGGTGCGCTGCAGAAGTTAATGCTTAATTTGACCAGTTAAAATTTCTTGTCCGACGTTTTGACCTATACATTTTTTTAGGAAAAAACCAGACCTTTATGAAAAAAATTTTAAATAAAAAATGTCCATTTGATAAAAAAATGAAATTTTATTTTTTATTGTAATTTTTCAAGGTCAAAATTTTTTTTTTTATCAAATTTGTTTTCACCATTAGAAAGTGCTGAAAAACAGCAAAAAAAACCCAAAATAGAAAACATCTTTTCATTTTGTTTTAAAGAAATTACAAATTTTTCAAATCTTCCATGTAAGGTCAAAAATTTAAAGTTTGACCCCCTCCAGTTTTTACATTTGTTTAAATAAATTAATAATATTTGGTATTTTTAATTGTATCTAATAGGACTACTATTTGTGCAAACTTTTAACCTGATCCCAAACATTTCAAATTTGGACCCGGATCACTTGAGGTGGAATGCCACATATATAAATGACAAGAAAATATATTGTCCAGAAGAAAGTAATAATTCTCAAGTTTTTTAATCTTCGAAGAGATGACTATGAAACTTTTACCATTTTTTCTTGTGGCTATTATAATTGCAAAAATGAGATACAGTTCGGAATCATATTAAAAATGTTCTTGTAGTGATACAGTGGAACCTCGATTATCCGAACCGAAAATCATTTTATCCGAACTTTTTTTTGACCTCCCGAATCTTTCAAAGGAAAATAACGATATTTATGCCAGAAAAATCTTAAAAAATTCTGAATTCTATGTCTTATTAATATATTATTATATAAATTAATATATATTTACGTATATATACTGATGTATATTTAAAAAATGGATTAAATGAAATATATATAATTCAACTGTCGATTTTTTTACTTTAATTATATAAAAAAAATTAAAATCTCTATTATCCGAACTTTCGATTATCCGAACCCGGCCTTGCCAAGGTTAGTTCGGATAATCGAGGTTCCACTGTATTTGAATATTTTGCCCTTGATTTCATAAAAATCAGAAAGGTGATCTACTCATGGAGCTGGTCCACCTATGGAGATATTCTTCTACTACTATATTTGGGCAATTCCACGTGAGATTTTAGTTGACCTCTTAAAATTCGCCAAAAATATTTTTTTTCTATTCTGTATCTCGAAAAAAACAGATACGTATTTTTTTATTTTTGTTTAATTGTCCAAATTTTCGAGTTATGAATTTTCGAAATTTTGGACTTTTAATTGTAGACCTATATTCAGTAGCTTATAAGTCCGAAAATATTCAGTTTAGGAAAAAGTTGTCAAAGAATGAAAGTTTTAGTTTTTTTTTCAACTTTTAAAAAAAGTAAACAAAAAATTTATTTTAAATTTTTTATTAAAAAAAAAAATTTTTTTATAAACAAATTAATTTTTTCTAACTTTGAGCCGGATTTTTTTTATTTTTTCTTATAATATGGAGAAGATTTTCCAAATAGTCCCGAAATGGTCTTGATGTGTTAAATGAGTTTTAAAACATTTTCAAAAATCACTTGCAAGCATCACAGTGGGATTTTTTTACAAATAACATTTTAAAACTGTCTACAGCGTTAATAATAATTTTTAATCTATTTGAGTGTTCTTTGTTTTAAATTAAAGGGTCTACTTCCCAAGGTATGTTATATATGGGGCATTCCAGGCCAAGTCGGAAATTATTTTGCTTGCATCTCAAATTTTTTTTAAACATTTTTTTTCTTTTAGTACTCTTTGAAATGAGCTACCTTGCTCTTTTTCAAATTTTTTCATAAAGCGGTTCAGGAGATACAGATTTTTGAAAAATGACGTTTTTTACGTACATTTTTTTTTAAATGCTTATAACTCGGTCAAAAATTGATCAAATTGGACGTTTTTATAATGAAAAGTTTTGTTTTCACGCGTAGTTTTTAATAAAAATATTTTTAAAAAATTTAAAAATAATTTACGATAAGATTTTAAAATTTTTTTAATAAAATTTCATTTTTAACAATGTATGTATCGATCAATTTTTTTCAAAATTTTTTGTAAGAAACTAGCACTAAATTAACAATTTTTAAGCCTTGTCCGATCGTGGGCAAACGGTGGGATCTATTTATTTTGAAATTTTTAATTTTTATATACGCAGTGATGGCCAAATGACTAACTTGCCATTTGACAAAATCACACAAATTTTTCACAGCAAATGTGTTTTCAGACTGAGTCTCTCCAAACTTAACCTTAATTGTGATTTGTTCAAATGACAAGTTAGGCCTACCGTTTTCACTGTGTATATAAAAATTAAAATTTTTTAAATAAATAGATCCCATCGTTTGCCCTCGATCGGACAAGGCTTAAAAATTGTTAATTTAGTGCTAGTTTCTTACAAAAAAATTTGAAAAAAATTTATCGATACATACATTGTTAAAAATGAAATTTTATTTAAAAAATTTTAAAATCTTATCGTAAATTATTTTTAAATTTTTTAAAAATATTTTTACTAAAAACAAAACTTTTCATTTTAAATACGTCTAATTTGATCAATTTTTGACCGAGTTATAAGCATTTAAAAAAATAGCTCATTTCAAAGATTACTAAAAGAAAAAAATGTTTAAAAAAATTTAAGATGCAAAAGCAAAATAATTTACGATTTGGCCTGGAATGCCCCATATAAATTTTATAAAAATGCTTGCTTTAGAAAGCATAAAAAATACACATTGTTTATAAAATTATTATTAAAAATGAAAAATTTTCATTGAAAATTTTTTTACAATTATTTAATTAACTACCAAAAAAATCCCCATTAATTTCTAACAACATAATTTTGAGTTGTTTATTTTTTTATAAATGATGCAAAATTTTTTAATTTTGAATAGCTACACGGAAAAGTTTTTGTGTGAGCTGCCGTTTCACGATTAGAAAAAAATACTTCTCACAATTTGGGTGCTCCGTTTTCTCTCTTAAGAGAGCTGTGCTGACCGCACTGGGCGAGCAGCACTCCCAGCATGGTGTGAGGTGTGCTGCTCTATCAAACTGGGGATGACTCTCTACTTTAGTTAAAGTCGCGCAGCGGCAACCACAACTGATTCAGCTGCTAACCTAAAAACTTTTCCGTGTATAAAACCGTATGAGATAAAAACAATTTGTTTTGTTACACTAATCATTTCTAAGGTCATCATAAACAGATCTAAGCTTTTGTAATTGAAAAAAATTCTTTTCTACGGTTTTTGAAGGTGGCCGACTACTGTCGATTTAGGTGTTCGTCTACTGACTTGTTTATTTTCTAATTTTTTTATTAAATAAAATGTTTTTTTCATAAACCAATCATGGGTTTAATAATTTTGTGTGATCATAAGGAACTATTCATTAAAAAGATTTTCTTAAGTGGGTGACTACTGTCTGGTTTACCCTAATCGGTGGGCAAGATTCTGGTTTTAAACAGTTTAATGTAACACAAAAATTTAAAGTTGCTTTATAGTACGTAGGATATTTTTAAAATATTTATGTTTGTGAATTAAAAACTGAAATCTTTGTCTTCATTTCATGAACACTTTGAAAAAGTAACATCAAATATTCAGATTAGTAATCAGTGACCCCAAAGACACCCGAGTATTAAGTTTCAAGCTAATTCAATGAATTAAAAAATTTGTTCGCCATATTGGAACCGCCATTTTGAATTATGAAAAACTGACCTCGAATTCGGAACCAACAACCTTAAAAACCTCTAAGAACGTGTTTAATTTTTAAAAATTTCCCCCGTCCTTCCCGGGGACGTTAAAGGGTTAATAAATGAAATTTTACTTATTCAGATTAAAAAAAAAGGTTTCGTTTAACATTTAAAAGATTTTACTAATTTTTAGTAAAAAAATATGTGAAATCTTTTATTCCGCATAGATTGCTTCAGCAGTTTTAGCCCCATGCATATGAATAAATAAGTATTTTTTAAATTTTAATATTCTTTTATAGGCATTAAATAGAGAATATCTTTCGAAGTTGGAACAAGTCGTTGAACTCCAAGCAAAATGTTTAAAAGGAATATCGCACCAGAAGTATCAAATGGGCGTCATTTCAAAATCTCTTAAAAAGTACGTTTCATAAAATTGAAGCTTTCATTTTATAAATAATCTTAATGTTAAGTCCAGAATGTCAATTTTATAATAAAAATTTAATTAAATAAAAATAATAATAATAAAATTAATTAATTAATTAATTTAATTAAATTTTAATCATCAACGCATTATTTGCTTTTTCTTACATTTTTCTACGACGCGACCTTTTAATCTAAAATTGACATTCTGGACAGAGACATTAAAAAATATATTCATCACAGCAAATAATTAACCTTTCTTATTGAAAAAAGCTTGCAGGCAAGCGAAGCACGTGACGCTCTGGATAAGGATATAATGAAACGAGATCAGCAGTTACATGACATGGAGCAAATATTACCAAAACCAAATGGTACTTATCTGAAAATTATCTTAGGAAACGTTAATGTTTCAATATTGAACAAAAACGATAAGTAAGTTTATAATTATTAATATTCAACTTATTTTTCACATACTCTTTAAATTTTTCATCATTTAATTCATAGCTGATAAATGCGTTATTTAAAACTTAAATGTAATAGTAAAAAGATATAAATTTTAATTACAATTTTTTACATCTAGTCTATCTATATGTAAATAATAATCTTATAAAGATAAATAAGTCCATAATTTAAATTTAAGATTAAACTAACAAGTCGTAAAAAATACAAGACATTAACAACGTTCAAAAAATTAAAATTCTGGACTTACGATTATTTTGTATATATCTGATTGCAGTTTGAACTTAGTTGTTTTTGTTAGCATTGCTTTTTTAGCTTTAACAATTCAAACAGTTTTTATATTATAGTATAGTTAAGGTCTGAAAGAGGGAAAACATTCTCAAAGCTAATACAGCAAGCTACATTATATAATCAAATCTTTTAATTGTTAATAAATTTTTCTTGATTTTTTGAGGAAAATTTTTTTGTCAAATTTATAGTTATGTAATAATGAAGCAAAGAAAATATCATTCTTTTTGAAGGAGTAACCGATAAAAGTGATAATTTTTTGGGTGGTTTTTTTTAAATCACACACGGAGAGAGAATATATATTAAATTTTGTAAAAATATTTTCAAATTGGGGAAAAAGTGCGACAAAGCGAAATTTTGATATAAAAAATACTAAACTTTAAAAAAACTTATGTGAAATTTAGTATAATTATATCAAATATCAAGAATATTAATTAAATTCTAATATAACTTTAATAAATTTCACAAAACTTTTTTTAAAGTTTAGTATTTTCTATATCAAAATTTCGCTTTGTTGCACTTTTTCCCCAATTTGTAAACTACTTTTACAAAATTTAATATATATTCTCTCACCGTGCAGTTTTGTCATAAAAGTCATAACATTTTTTCAAAAATTGATAGTTTTGAAAAAGCTACAGTCCAAATTTAAATTGAATCCGTAAAAAATTGGGAGAAATCCTTATGGCCTTTGAAGTTGTCTTGAAAGACATGATCTCAGTTAAACTGTTGTAACAGCGCAATTTTTTAGTAAACAAATTTCTTTTTTATTTTTAAATTTAGTTTGATACATGTATTTTACTTTAAAGAAAACCCAGCATTATTATTCTGTAGCTTTTTCTTAAAATAATTAATTAAAATAGACTCAATTTTTTATGTGCTCTGGGTAATGTTACCCCTTAATTCTCTTTTTGTAATAACAATTTCCAAAAGGAACGTTTGCAATAACTATGATACATTTTCTACAATAAGAGTTTAAAAAAGTGTGTTTTTTACCAATTCTGCACCAGAAAGTTCTTTATGCACAAAAAAGGTGTCAAGGTAATATAGACTGTTTTTTAATGAGTCAAATTATGTCCATGAATTAACATTTTTATCAATGATTATTATTCATATATGTTACGGTCATTGCCCGGGTATTTTTAACATAATTTAGTAAAATGCTGCTAATATTACTCGAAAGAGCACATTACTTAAATTGCTTAACGTTTCTCTTATATTTTTAGCATGGATTCATATACTTATTGTAAAAATACTTTCAATGCAATAAGCGTAAGAGACAGTAACTAATTTTGCACGAAATCTTTATTATAAATACAAAGAGAACGTGCGATAAAAGTACAGTGGCGGATCCAGAATTTACTCCAGGGGGGGGGGTCATTTATAGATTCGGCGAGCAACGACCATAATTAGCTGACCTTTTTTTTATGTAAATTTTTCGCCCCAGGGGGGGGGTCATGACCCCCCCTGGATCCGCCACTGTAAAAGTATTAGGTTCTTCTTATAAGAATCGCTCGAACTCCGACTGATTTTCAGGCGGACTTTATACAACACAATCTTACCTGCGTATACGCACATATAACTCACACACACATATATTTCTCTCTCTCTATATATATTTGATATTTCTCTGTCCTGTAAAACATTATATATTATATGTAGTATTTAATAGTTGTTGCTGTTATAAAAAGATAATATTTATTTAATAGTAAGTATATTAGTTAAAAATTATTGCATTTTTATTCGTGTTTGAATGTATAAGCAACATGTGAAAATTGTTAGGTTCTGGGTAAGACTCCGTCAGAAAAATTACAATTTGCATGGGGTCTTCGGATTATTCTGTAATTTGGTGAAGTTGTTATATTTGATAACAAAAATAAGTGTACCAAAGGATTTTTAAAAATTTTCAAAATTGTAAAAGTTACGGGATTTTGAATTTTTTTATAAGATTTTTTTTGAATGTGAATATTTCCGAAACAATTTAACGGATTTTAATGAAATTTAAATATGTTATACTTAAAATCATGTCCTTCCAGAATTTTTCAAAAAAAGTAAAAAAAATTTTTTGAATCGATTTATTAAGCACAGGACCGATTTTTGAGTATTTTTCGACATATAATAAAATATTCCTTATAATTTCACCTTTTCATTTACAAAAAAGAAAACGATGGAGACTTTAAACAGTTTTCGAGATATTGCAATTTTTGTGGAAGCGCGACCACGTTTCAGTGCCAGCGCAGTATCTTTTACCCGGGACGCCTCACAGTGGGATTTTTTACACTTTACTCTTTAAAATTGTCTAGAGCCTACAAATTTTATTGGATTTTGATGTTCTTGGTCTTAAATGAAAGGGATAAAATTTCTAAGAGATCTCTTTAAACCAATTTTTAATTGTTTATTTATTTTTTTGTTATTCAAAGTTAACAATTTACAATATTTTTGTAAAAAATACTGTTTATTTTTTATTTTTCCATTGCACAAGATCGAAATCAATTAAAATTAGTTTAGTCTGACCACCTGACAAATAATAATGCATAATACAGTTTATTTAAAGTGTTAAAAAAAACAATTTAAATTAAAAAATAGATAACTTTGGTCCTTTTTTTAAAAAAAAACTTGTTTTTTAGACAAATTTATGTTTATTCAAGTAATGTAGGTATATCTATTTTGTAAAAAAATGATTTTAAAGTTAACAATTATCGTTGTTATTAATAATTATATAACAAATAATCTATTTTCTTTTGCATTTATAAACATTTTCGTAATTTTTTAAACTTTAAATATTTATATCATATGTACATTCTTTCAAAAACTTAAAAAATTTATTAGCTTAAACAATTACATTTGTTATCAAGAAATTATTAACTTTATAAACAAATAAATGGCTTATTTCTGCAAAAAAATAGAACCTTTTTGAACGAGTTTAACATTTTAAAGCTCTACTTAAATATCGATAACTTGAGTATTGTTAATATCAATGATAATTATTAACTTTAAAATAATTTTTTTTACAACGTAGACTTGAATTACTTAAATAAACATAAATTTGTCTAAAAAAAATAATTTTTTTTAAAAAGACCAATGTTATCTATTTGTTAATTAAAATTGTTTTAAAATCAATAAGTAAATTTTTTAAGTTTTTAAAAGAATATACATATTATATAAACATTTTAAGTTTAAAAACTACTGGAAATCGGTTTAAAGAGATCTCTTAGAAATTTTATCCCTTTCATTAAGGACCAAGAACATCAAAATCCAATAAAATTTGTAAGCTCTAGACAATTTTGAAGAGTAAAGTGTAAAAAATCCCACTGTGAGGCGTCCCGGGTAAAAGATACTGCGCTGGCACTGAAACGTGGTCGCGCTTCCACAAAAATTGCAATATCTCGAAAACTATTAAAGTCTCCATCGTTTTCTTTTTTGTAAATGAAAGGTGAAATTATAAGAGATATTTTATTATATGTCGAAGAATACTCAAAAATCGGTCCCGTGCATAATAAATCGATTCAAAAAATTTTTTTTTACTTTTTTTTTCTTTTGAAAAATTCTGAAAGGACATGATTTTAAGTATAACATATTTAAATTTCATTAAAATCCGTTAAATTGTTTCGGAAATATTCACATTTGAAAAAAATCGTATAAAAAAATTCAAAATGGCGTAACTTTTACAATTTTAAAAATCCTTTGGTACACTTATTTTTGTTATCAAATATAACAACTTCACCACATTACAGAATAATCCGAAGACCCCATGCAAATTGTAATTTTTCTGACGGAGTCTTACCCAATAGTTAAGGTATTATAATTATAATGTAAACAAATAAATTTGTTTCGAGTACGAAACACTTACTACTTGCACTGCATACTTGCTCAATTTTTTTTTGTAAAAGATTTTTCCAAATTTACAGTAAATTTTTAATACCGAAAACTACTACCTAATTGGGTCTGGCTTTCTGAAATGTATCATCAAATTTCGATAGGTAGTCCAATTTACTTCAAACTTTTTTTTTAATAGTAAATAATTATATAAACAAAATTCATAAATATTTTTGTCAAAAAATTTAGTTATCAAAAGTTATTAACAATTATAAATTTTATCAACTTTTTGGAAAAATATTGATTACTAATAAACGAATGCTCAGAATTCTATAAAAATTAAACTATACCTAGGTATTTAAAAATAAACAGTCTTCAAAATACCAGAGCTAGTTTTAAATTACCATGTAATTTCTTTAAATAATTGGAAATTTTTATAATCAAATTAAATTTTAAATATGTTCTTAATATGATAATTAAATTTTCTTTAATATTACATCTTATTCTACAAATATTTATAAACTATTACAAAAAAAAATTTTGGGGCCCGAATTATAATATTAAAATAGAATGTTAAGGTGTATTTAAATCGTAATATTTATTAATGTTTCTTCAAATAAATTTTTCTGTCTTATTAAAATTGTTATATTCATTAATTAAGGGGCGGTAGCGATTCTACGCAATTACATTCTACAAAAAAAATCATCACAGTAAACTCTACAAGAAAATAAATTTTTTTTTTTTAATTGTTTAACCCTTTGAGGGGCGGTGGGACGTATACGTCCCACCTACAAAAACCTCAATATCTTTGACAAAAATTAATATTTTTGAGTCAAATTTAGTGCGTTCTTTTCAGGAAGAATAGGGCTTTAAAAATATGTAACCTAGATCATGTTAAAAAATTCCTATTGTTTAAAAAAATTTATAAATTATTGTTAAAAGTCACGAATTTTTTAAACATTTGAAAATGGACTAAAAATTGTTACTCGGGGGTTTTTGGGGTTGCTGATTACGAATATGACATCAGTTTTTAAAAATTCAAAATGGCGGATCCAATATGGCAGACGATTTTGTAAAAATTGTTTAGTTTTACATGAAACTTATCACTCGGGGGTTTTAGGGATTGCTGATGACGATTCTGATGTTAGTTTTACCTGAAGCTTGTCAATCGGGGGTTTGTGGGATCGTTGATGACGAATCTGATGTTAGTTTTTATAAATTCGAAATTGCAGATCCAATATGATAGATGACAAATGTAAAAATTTATTAGATTGTCACGAAACTTGTTACTCGGAGGTTGTTGTAGTCCCTGATTACCAATCTTTAGTTTATTTTTAAATTTAGATTGTGGATTAATAATTAGCGGAGAAATTTTTAAAATTAATAAACTGGAATGTTTATTATAAAACTCCTGCTAATTTTACAACAAAAATTTCTAATTATTACAGAGCAAGCCATGCATAATGAACTCCTTAAATGAGCTAGAGAGTTTCAAATATTTATGTTCTGAAATTTATTAAGGGGTCGTCCATATACCACGTGGACAGTTTAGGGGGGAGGGGGGATTCGCCAAAAATCCACGATTTTCCACGGGGGGGGGGTCAATACAAATGTCCACGTGGACACAAAAGTTTAATTTTATATCTTTTTTAGGGTTTCGTGGCCAAGGGCCAAAACCCTTATAGCGAGACTTCGGTGTCCGTCCGTAGTTTTTACGTCTTAAGTCTTAAGTCTTATATAACGATCCGAGACTTTGGTATAAGAAAGTCTTAAGTTCTAAGACTTAAGACTTAACTTCGGTATAAGAAGGTCTTAAGTCCTAAGTCTTAAGTCTTAAGACAACATAACAACCGTTGCCGTTGCAACCGTTGGTATAGTAATGGTTGCCATGGCAACCGTTACTATGATAATAACAAAAAATTTCAATCTTAAGTACAAAAAAATTTCTAAATAAATTATTATTTATTTATTTTTTTGTCATTTTAGGCCACGAAACCCTATGATGTAGGCGCATTGCGCCTGCTTCTCTGACTGATTTTTTTCTTTTTATTCAACTTTATTATTAGATTGTGATCAGACAATATTTGTAATCCGAAATTTATTTAACTGTCAAAAAAACGCCAAATTGTTTTTTAATTTATATTACAAAATCATTATCGTAAATGCACAAATATGAATATGCAAATTTGACAATTAGGAATACAAAGCAACCTCTACAAACTCTTACAAATTCTAAAAAAAATAATTTCTATTATTGTTTATGTGAAGGCTTAAAGCTATTGGATTTTAGAAAATTTAAGATTTGTTACCGAAGAGATTAAGTATTTCTACTAATATAATAATTGAAGATATATTGCTGCCAAAGTCCTCTCCATAATACTAAAAATGGTATTTACCTATTTAATAATATTTTAAGATAATTTAATCTTTATTGAATTTTAAAGAAGTTTGTAATAAAAAAAATTTAAAGAATTTTTTAATTGTATTTCTTATTAATTATCTTTTTATTATTCACTATTTTGAAATAAAAAACCCGATTGTCCACGTGGACAATCAGGGGGGGGGGAGAGGGGTTCGTCAAAAATCCACGATTGTCCACGAGGGGGAGGGGGGGGGTCAAAAAGTGTATGGAGATTTAAAAGTATATCATCCATAGAGTGGTATGAAGACCACTTTATATCGTTTCGTCCCGGTCCCCACTACTTGGACTCATCAGTAAGGCTACGTAGTGGGAGACCTGCCCTAGACGGGGGAAGCAAATTCGGAACTTGTATATATGCTACAAGACTAGCCCGTATTGCACTTGTGAGAGATCTATATGGGAAATTGGCGTAGATGCGAGATCTATTGGCCAATCCCCACATACTCCCCCCCTAGTATCATCGAAGTAGATGATACGATTGGTTAAAGGAATAGGAACGAAGGGAAAGCTTCAGGAAACTCAAGTACTATGTACGAGTGGAAAGAAGACTTTGCGTGCACAATGTGCAGATCAGAAGGTTTTTGGAAAGAGATAGACGGAGCGCGTTGCGAGCGAGAGACAGCGAAGGCATCTGTTTTCTAGTGCTCACCGCTTCGTGGCAAGTGCGAGGAAAGGTACGAAAGGAGCGTTGTGAGCGACCCCGAAAACTCGAGCTCTTCGTTAACACCGTCGCAGAAAATTGCAACACGAAGCGGCCCGTCGGCGGTCACCAATATGGAGATTTAAAAGTATATCATCCATAGAGTGGTATGAAGACCACTTTATATCGTTTCGTCCCGGTCCCCACTACTTGGACTCATCAGTAAGGCTACGTAGTGGGAGACCTGCCCTAGACGGGGGAAGCAAATTCGGAACTTGTATATATGCTACAAGACTAGCCCGTATTGCACTTGTGAGAGATCTATATGGGAAATTGGCGTAGATGCGAGATCTATTGGCCAATCCCCACAAGTGTCTAAAAAGTGTCCACGTGGTATATGGACGACCCCTAAGTGAATAATATTTTGATTTTGTTTCAGATTCAAGTATAAAGATGAATACGAAAAGTTTAAACTTGTACTTTCTGTTATTGGCTTTGTTTTATCAGTTATCAATCTCCTCACCAGTATAAGGTATATATAACAATTTTCTGTTCTTCCAGGTTTGCTGGTAACATATATTATTCATCTATTATTCACTTATTTTAATATTCAGTTTGCACCATAGTAATAATAATACAAACAATTTCAGAACTTTGGAGTTAAGTTTTATGTTTTTGCTAGTCTGGTATTATTGTACTTTGACAATAAGAGAGAGTATACTTAAAGTTAATGGATCAAGGATCAAAGGTTGGTGGCGCTTTCATCATTTTTTATCGACCGTCGTGTCAGGCGTTCTTTTAGTTTGGCCTAATACTGGAGCTTGGTACTCATTCCGTGGTCAATTTATGTGGTTTAATGTATATATTAGTAAGTTCCTTTTTCAAGCATTATTTTCTAAAAGAAATGTTTTCGCTATTTATTATAAAATTTTACTCTTCATTACTTTACAGGTGTAGTACAATTTCTTCAATTTCGATATCAACGGGGAGTTCTTTATCGATTAAAGGCATTGGGTGAAAGACACAATATGGACATAACGATAGAAGGCTTTCATTCATGGATGTGGCGAGGACTGTCGTTCCTTCTGCCATTCCTTTTTATGGGCTACGTCTTTCAACTCTACAATGCTTACACGTTATATACTCTGTCCTCACATTCGGAAGCCACTTGGCACGTTCCAGTTCTTAGTTTAATGTTTCTCGTATTATTTTTAGGAAATATAATAACAACAATTATGGTGATCCCTCAAAAATTACAGGATAGATTCAGAGACCATTTACAAAGTGTTTTTGTTTCAAAGGTTCAAGAACGCAAGAAAGATCATGTTTTAAATGAAGAGACAGATACTGAAAAAAGAGACTAAATTATCAACATTTTTAAAACTGTAATAACGTAACATACTTTAAATGAAAAATACAGATTTTGGTAGTGACAAAAGCCAAAAAATGTACAAACTATATATGAGTGGTTTTTTTCGTTATCCAAAGATCGCGCCAAATATTTCTTCTTAATTTCTTACTTTTTGTAAAACACTCAAAAAAAATCACACTTATTGCTTTTAAATAATAATTTAAACACTTTTAATGTCTCATTTCTTTAAAAAGTTTGAAATTTTATAAGCAGAAATTAATCAACTTAGAAGATAATCCCCTTTTCATTACATATTGTATTTTAAATATCGTAACGTTTTGAATGCAAATTAGATAACGGCGCATGAAGAAACTACAAAGATGATTTCATTAGTATTTTTTGGTGATATAATTTTATTTGATAAAATTTTCCCTTTTCAGAATTATTGTATAGACGAATTTCTACTTAAAAGAATTTTTATGTAATTTAAATTAGAGTAAACTTTGAATTAGAAGAATTTTTATTTAACTCTATATTTATTTAAAAGATTTATTTAAAATAATTTTTATTTTGCGCTGAATTTTCAAATTCTAGAATTTCCAATTCAGCAAATTTTTTTTATTTTGATGAATTCCAGCACAAATTTTGAAAATTAATTAATTAACAATTAATGTGTTTTAATCGTTTCTGATTGATCAATTTTAAAATTTATAGAAATCGTTGAATTCCATGAATTCAACGATCAAATTCATGGAAATGGGAATTCAGAAAATTGAAAATTTGGTTTCATTCTGTTAAGTAGAAATGCAGTTGGCATTTTGATTGAACGAAAATTTTGCCAAAGTCCTGTAACCAGAAAATTCTAACAAATGACCGTTTGGGGCTTAAACAGGCGCCTCTATAAACCAAACTTTTAGTTTCAGATTTAATATGAATTTTATATAATTCTTCTTTAATTTTCTCTAAAGAAAATAAAGAGATGCATTTTTTATTTTCGAAATGTTTATTTTTACAAAGATTGACATTGTTATAAACAAGTACATTTTGACAAAAATAAAGCATTATGTGTAACTTCTAAGTTTGTTGGTTACAAAAAGGACTTAATTTATTTAACCCTCTATCACACGCATTAGATACAAGGACAGATTTAGATATTTATTTCGCAATAGTCGAGTTTTAACAATAATTTTGGGTATTATAACATTATCATACAATTTTTATTGCAAAATTTGAAATAAAAATTTTCTAAATTCTATTTCCTTACATTTTTACTCAAATTTGTCCAATTTTTTTTTATTCAAATATTTTTTTGAAAGGAATATTTTCATAGACTTGTTACTGAAGTAAAAAAAAGTAAATTAAATTTTGAAGCTTTATAAATTATTTTATGCAACTCAGGCGTATTATGGTCACTTTATCTACCTGTACAGGCGCATACTAAGTTCCCCCTTATTTATAACCCAGCGGCCAATAAAGTGCCCATTATTGCTCTAGGGCAATAAAGTACCTATTACAATATTGAAGAACTCGGACATAATTTTGGATTTATAGATTTTTAAGCTTCTAAAACAGTCAAAAAACTGCCTATTTACAGAAACGCTGGCAAACTCTCCTACATACTGAAATTTTTAATGATCAAAATTTTTCACAAATTTGACGACTTTTTTTTAAAAATGTTAATTAGTAAGTTGTAATAATTACCCAATATTATTATATTTTATTAAATGAATTTACTTGTATATTAGATTTTATATATTTTTTTTTATTAAATTTCCATTTTCATCAAATTGACAAAAAGACAAAATTTCTAAATTTAATGATAAAGTGTAATAGAAAAGTTTATAAATTAATAATATATTCTAATGTTCGTTACAACAATCAATTTTTACTTAAAATAAAAAATGATAAAAAGTATTATAAATATTCCCTATTAAAAATAATCACATGTAATTTCTAGGGTTAAATTTCACTAAAAAATTAGTAGAAATGATTATTTATTAGTAAAATTTACTAATTCAAAAGCAAAAAGTCAGTCACTAAATCAAATTAAGTAATCATTTTTACTATCTCAAATTTTAGAGAGTAAGTAAAAATTTACTTGAAATACACTTATTGAGGAAAACTAATAAACAGAACTTACTCTATTATACTAGATTATAAATAACAAATATTTAAAAAATTAATACCCTGAAAATGGACCTTGAAAAAAATTATTTTGGACCTTGAAACCCTTGAATTTGTTTAAAGAATCGCTGGTCACCCTGAACAAATTAAGTTAATATAAATTAAAATTTTGAATTATTCTTCAATATACAGAGATAATAAATATAGATACATTTATCCTTCGAATATATCCTGTATTGTTTACGTGTAAATATTTTGGTATTTTTGTCAGCTTCATGTACTAACAGGAAATAATGTTGAGGAAATGTCATTGCTGTGTGCGTGTACGATATATATATATATATATATATACTTTGTACATAAATCATCAATATATGGTATACGTAAATTTTTTCTAAAGGGATTCAAGTTCAAAAAAGACTTTAGTTCGAAAGTTTTCATTTTCTCATATATCCAACAATTAAATTATTTATGACCTCTAATAATAACTAATTAACTCTCTAATTTTTAAATTATTTATTGACTTGAATCATAATAACCTCCTGCTTCTTACCGGCTATATTCAAGTACAGTGCGTTCTTGATTGTATTGCCCATAATACTGTATACGTGTTAGTCTCAGTAATATACATATATATGTAATAACTGTTATAACTAGATGCTTTGTCATCGTTTTCAATCTTTTCCTATCTTTTCTTGTAATATTACGTGACACTTGTTCTCGTTGCGTAGTAGTTTAAAATTAAGTAGCGAAATTTAAAAATGTCATCCGTTCAAAAGTATGGCCCTATAATTGCCACCACTCTCTTCCCAAACGTTGGGGGTTGGATTGGTAGTTACATAACCAGAAAAAACCTTAATCCCTGGTACGAGGTAAGAAAAATATTATTTCATTTATAACAATTTTTCTATGATCTATATACTTTAACATTTCTCAGAGTGTTTTATTGACTAATTAGTAGAATTATTATAAGATTAATTCGTCGAAAATTAATTCATTTCAATTCGTTTGAATTTGTTATTTTCTGGTGGCGATAGAGTTTTTCTTTAAAACGAATAAAAAATTTCAAGTACTTGAAAAAAGAGGTTTATATCTGTATACATGTAATTTTACCTTTTATTGGACTTTACATTTTTATCAAATTATTTTACATTATATACACGTACTATTAGTGGATCGCTCGATTGCCCTAGGTTTCTGTTTACATACATAAAGTTCGCAGATAATTTAGGCGGATGGGGGGTCAAGAGGGAGGTTTCGTTGCAACAACAGAACAGTATATTTGTATGTCCTGAATACGAATTATCTTGGTCTATTGTTTTTTTTAATTTTAAAAGGATTTTTTATCGAAGAAATTATTTTTAGCTTAACTTTAAGATATTTTTAAATTATCGTAAATATTTTTTTAAATAAATATCCATTTATTTACCATTACCGCTTACAGTACCGGCCAAAATTGTCAGTCCATCCATTTTTGAAGGAATGAAAATAATTTTTTAACATAAAATTTATGAAAACTCAAATTTTTTTTGGTTTATATTTTGAAAGACGATAAAATTTTAAAAAGAATACCTAAGACCTCACAGAAGTCATTTGACCAAAATTTGTAGAAGATATTCTTAAAAATCGTCATTTTCAATGTTTTACAAAAATTTGAATAACTTCTAAAATAACGAACGCTTTTTAATAATCTTAGGCTTATTTTAAAGGTCATTTTCTACGGAATAAGAATTACTTATAAGCATTAACCTGTAATTTTTTATTTGGAATAAGCATGACGTCAAAGTTGGACAAAAAAATCCAAAAAATTGAAATAAATTTTTTGTACTAAAAACTATTCTAGAACATATATAAAGCATGATATGGTATAGATTTTTCAAAAAGATTTAATAAAAAAATATGTTTGAATTTCAAAAATTATTTTTCTTTTAATAATATTATTTCAAATTTTTTGAATTTTTTTGTACAACTTTGACGTTATGCTTATTCCAAGTAAAAAATTACAGGTTAATGCCTATAAGTAATTCTTATTCCGTTGAAAATGACCTTTAAAATAAGCCTAAGATTTATTAAAAAGCGCTCATTATTTTAGAAGTTATATTCAAATTTTTGTAAAACATTGAAAACGACGATTTTTAAGAATATTTTCTACAAATGTTGGCCAAATGACTTATGTAAGGTCTGATTCTTTTCAAAATTTTATCTTCTTTCAAAATATAAACCAAAAAAAATTTTAGTTTTCATGAATTTTATGTTAAAAAAATTTCTCATTCCTTTAAAAATGTGTGGACTGACAATTTCGGACGGTACTGTAGTTATAAATAAAATCACACTTTTATCTGTACATTGCTTAAAACTTGAAGAAATCAAACTTTTTTAAAAAATTCGAAAAATCAAAAAATTTTTAATTATTTATTTTTTAATTGAATTTATTTAATTTGAATTTAATTGCTGTACTTTCTGTAACAGTGAAATTAATATCACCAAAATACATTTTAATTTGCTTTCACAATAATGACTGCAATATATTTTAAAAATATTAGATTAAAAAAAAACGATTTGAATGGAAGTTATAACTTTTTCGAAAAATCAAAAAATGTATATTTTTAATTTTTGTCTGGTTCAAGCGACACTAATTGTAGCTAATTTTTGAGATAAGTACAACCTACTTTTAAAATAAAATTTAAAAATAAATAATAAATTCGAATTTATAATCCAAAACCATATTTTTATTTTTAACAGTTTTTTTGAAGAACTATCATAAAATTATTACTTATAAATTATTATAATGAACAATTGTACTTAAATATTTTAAAATTAATTGAATTCTCAAAACGTTGCGCTTACAATTTTGATAAATAGGTTAACTTCAAAAGATTTTAATTTGAAATTTAATAAAATTTCAATTTTTAATGAATTTTATTAAAACTTTTAAAGAACTTGGATTTTTGAAAAATTTTAATAATTCAAATTCTTCTGAAATTAGTTAAATTTTTCAATATATATTTCATTAATTATTATAGTTAATAATGGATTTATAGAAGAATTTTCGTTAAAAACACTAAAAAATTGAATTTTGGAGAAGTTACAAATGATTGCAGAAATTCAAGTATATTTTCAAAAGTAATCAAATTATTCGTAGAAATTCAATTATGTTCAAAATTTAAAAAAAAATTCTCGTCAAAATTCAACTATTTTCAAAAATGTCAAAAAATTCTTGTCATAATTTTAATTTTTCCAAAAATTTTCCTCATTTTAATTATTTTTAATATATACTATGTAAACAAAATTTACCAAAAGAATTCAATTATTTAAAAAAAAATTTAACAATAAAATTGTTCGCAAACATTTAATTATTTTCATAATAATAAAAATTTCACAGGGATTCAATTAAACAAATTTAATTTCCCGATGAATTTCATGCGTTTAGCGGTTAGGCCACGCCTTAGCCCTTATTGGCCTTAGCTCGTTGCAAGAATCTCACCGGGAAAACCCGTGAGCGTCCTGCATTTTTACTGTCATAATTTTCACGCGTTAAATGCATATTTTTTCATGGGGAAAAGCCTTGTTTTTTCTCTCCGTGTATATATTTCAATTATTTTTAATACATACTACTATATTTAACTTTATATGATGTACCTATATTTTTAAATTACTGTATTTTTAATGGTTGTCCTCGTGGTATTCACCTAGGACATAATAAATAAATTCTATTCTATTCTAAAATTGATTTAAAATTTTTGATTTAAAAATCAATTTTAGTTAAAATTTTATGGAATAATTAAATGGTTAAGGTCATGTTATTCAGTGTGACGTTTTTCCATGGTAAAGTACATGGGGCACGTGACCACTGAATAACATAACCTTAAAGCATTATAGCATAAAATTTTAGAAATAATTGGATTTTGAAAAGGTTTCAAATTAAAATCTTCGAAAATTTGAATTTTTCATACTTGTAACTAACAATTCTGTAAAATTATTTTTTTAAAAAAGTTTAATTGAATTTTTTTTCTACTCAGTCATCTTTAATTATTACAAAACATGAAGATATCGATTGCTCCAAGTCGATGACTCGGAGTGATTGATTTCTTCATGTTTTATAACAATATTTTATAAGTTGTTTAATTTCAAAAAGGTTTGATTTTGAAATTTTTGAAAATTATAATTCCTATGGATAATTAATAATGAAATATTTATTTAAAAAAGAAGTTATTGATGTTTTTGAATAATTTTACACTTAAAGAAATTCGTAAATAAATTTAACAGAACATTTTTTTTAGTATAATTTCTTCTTTATTTTCGAAAAATTCAAAAATTTTCAATTTCATTTTCAATTAAAATTAGTAATTAAAATAGAATTTATAAACATTTTTCCCTTTATTTTTAAAAAACTTTGAATTTTATTAAAACGATTATAATTAAGAAATAGAAATGATGGAAATCATTCCCTTATGAAAATTGAGAATTTTCTACAAAAATATTAAGAAACGGGAATATATATGTAATGTTTTTTTTCCCAAAGAAAAGAATGAGTTTGTGAACAATATTGTTATTGAGTAATAAAAATTATGCCTAAAATGGGTATATTTCCTATTTTTTTAACATAATTATTTAACAATTCTCTAGTTTTTATAAATGAAAAGGAGAAAAATTTGCATAATTCAAATCAGTCAAACGAAATTTATTATAGAAAAAAGCATTAGGTATAATATACAAAATGGGTATATTTTTTATTCGTTAATCATAATTTTTTTCAAATTTTCTAATTTCAAATATTATTTTATTATAAATCATGAAAAAATACCTGCTTATTTTCGATTTATCAAACAATATTTTTTAAAGAAAAAAATTGTACATTATGCAACAAAGGCGTATTATGGTCAATTTTTGCTATATGTGACGGTGCATGGTAAGTTTCTCCATATAACACAGCTGGTCAATAAAGTGTTCATTATTGCACTAGGGTAATAATAAGTACTTTATTGACCTGTGAGCAGCGGTCAATAAATTACACTTTATTGCCCTAGGGTAATAATGGTTACTTTATTGACCTGTGAGCAGCGTTCAATTAAGTACACTTTATTGACCTAGGGTTATTGTTTAGCTCTTTAATAATTAAGTGAAATTTTATTCACTATTTGTAGTTGAATAATGTAATAAATATTGCAGTCGCTAAAAAAACCCACTTGGACTCCGCCAAAATGGATGTTTGGTCCAGCTTGGACTAGCATTTACTGCTCGATAGGTTACGCATCATACCTCGTTTATCGAGATGGAGGTGGCTTTCAGAATGCAGCCTTGCCTCTGTCCATTTACGGATGCAATCTAGCACTCAATTGGTCTTGGACGCCAATATTCTTTGGAGCCCACAAAATAAGATGGGTGAGAATATTTCTTCCGTTATTTCCAAAAACTACTATTTACCAAATGTAAAAATTACATTTAAAACTCAAGTACTTATGTGAAAATTATTTCAGGCCTTATATGAGATTATTATTCTCTGGGGATCCACTGTCGTAATGGGAGTTGCATTTTACAAAGTGAATCGAACTGCAGGCTTATTGGTCCTACCATATTTTTTGTGGAACACATTTGCAACCGCTCTCAACTATGTGATAGACAGAGAAAACACTGAGTCCTCTATAACATCATCAGAGAAAATCAAATAATTGAACAAAACCTTGTTTTTATAATTATTGTTTTATTGTTGCGTAAATGTTGTTTTACATTCTACACTTTTGTTAACACATTGTTTGGAGATTTTACATTGCACGCTTTTAATAAACAATGAGTTTCTCTCCTAGATAAATTTCGCGTTAGTATACGTACCCAGTAAGAAGACTTAAAAAAAATTAAAACTATCTGATATTCTTGAAAATGTTATCTATTCTATTTGGAAAATTCCCTTTCTTTTCAAAATTATAAAAAACTTTATCTTCTTTTTCTGGAATAAGTTTGGAATATTTTTTAATGTCGAAAAGTTTCGTTAAGTAAAACTTGAAATAGAAAATTTTTTAAATCCCCTAAAGGGAAATTTCGGACTTTTCATAATTTCAAGTGATTCATTTATTATAATTATGACATGTACAATTTTTTATTTTAAAAGTGTTATTTAATATTTTTAAGATTTAGAAGCAAAATAGTGCAATCTAATTTCTTTATACAGAATAAAATAGTCTAACATGGACATAAAAATAAAAGAAGAAAAGATTTACCAAAAAACTAAAAATCAAAATTAATCCCTTAAAAACCTTGTCTTGTCTATTTCGACACTACTTTTTTATTTTCTATGTGCAAAAAATTAAAAAGAAGAAGGAATTTTCCTTATTAAATGGAATTAATTTTTTTTATTACATTATATTCCAGCCTTGTTAACCGGGATTTTTTTTCCATTACCATTAATGGGAAATAAAATAAAGGTCAGTCTCGTTGCATCACGAGTACATTACAGTATACAGGTACTTACAGATAGGTAACAATAATTAATTCTTTATAATCATACAAGCCAGACTGAATAAATAATAATTAATTGATTTACAAATATTTACTACTCCAAATGTATTAAACAAACGAAATTATTCTCATAATATTTTGTTAAAAATATGCAAAAATTTCAGTATTCTCCATTGTACATAACATTCAATGTTAAATTAAAAATAGCGCATCTATTATATTTAAAAAAAAAACAACAAATAATTTAGGTCATTTCTTGACTCATCGCGTCAGATGAAATAATTTAAAAATAATAATCAATTGTTTAAAAATTCTTTTTCACTTACAAGTAATTTCTTATAAGGTAAAAGATTTTCATAGGGTCTGGAAAGAACACTGCATCATGTGGACTTGCACTTGTGCTACGTTGGATCAGTTGCGTAAATGAAACCTTGCTGCTGTAAAACGTATAATCGTTTCTCGACAGCATCTTTATCTACAAAAAAATACGATTCTTTTAATGTTAATACTTTTGTTTAATGTTAATACTTCAGGTGAAAAATTTGCTTTATATTTTCTCATGGATAACAGTCAAAAAGGGGACTTTTATTTTCAAAAAGGGGATTTTTATTTTCCAAAAAAGGGATTCAGTTTAAACAAAGGGGAATTTCCAAAATAAGTAAAAATTATTGTATTAGGATAACACATAAAATTTATTTAAAAATTTTTTTCAATAAAACTATAGCTTTTTAAAATCAAACAATTTTTTTGTTGAACTTTTTCTATTAATTATTGATATTTTTTTAAAATCTATTTCCGTAGTCTGTAACTTTCTTTAAATTTTTAGTCAGAATTTTGATTACAAACCTTAATAGTGTTTTAAAATTCCATTAAATTTAATTTATACAAAGTAAATTTCAGAAAATAAGTAGTAAAATTTAATATTAAAAATTGTTATTTTCAGAATTACTTTTGCATTTTCAAAGTCTTTGAATCCATAAAAAAAATTAGAAAAATTTGTTTTAAAAATAGTACCTAAAATTTTCTCAAAAATAATTTTTGATCAGTAATTGTAATGTTCGAGAAAAATTTGAACAATTTTTATATAAAAAAATGAACATTATTCAAAATTTACTATTAAAAATTGTTATTTCCAGAGTAAATTTTATTAAAAATTAATAAAATACCTATATATATAATAATTTAATTTAGTAAAATTTATTCTGAAAACAATACAATTTGTCAAAAATTCTAAACTATATACCTATGCATTTTTTAGAAGTAAAAGTTATTTTATATTTGTTATCTTTTAGAAAAAAATTTCTAAGTTTAAAGACTATGAGAAATAATATAGAAAGAGTTTTAAGTTTTAAAAAACTGAAATTCTTCCAAAGTGCTTATCGTATTAGTAAACCAGTAAAATAAAAAAGATTTTTGTAAAATTCAATTATTTTCAAAATTTTCAATTGAAAATATTAAAAAAAACTACATTATTTTCGAGTAACTTCAAAAAATGTAATATTTACGAAAACTCTAATAAAATTATTCAAAAACATTTAATTTACTATCAATAATTTTAATAAAATTTGTATCTAATTTAATTCCTTGAATTTAATTATTTAAAAAAATTGTAATAAAATTTCGAGAAGAATTTATTTACTTTCTAAAAATCCTAATAAAATTCAATAATCAAATGTTTAATTACAATTTATTATTAAAAACACGTGTATTTTAATAACTTGATAGAAATTCTTTATGAAATTCAATTATACTTTTACAATATTTCATTAAAATTATTAACATAATTATTATTTTAAAAAAATTCTAAATTTCCCGAAATTATTCACAAAATTTTTTGCGAGAATATAGCTAATTAGTTTCAATATAATTTTAATAAAATTTTTCGAAAAAATCAAATATTTATTTAAAAATATTAATAAAATAAATTAAAATAATGTAATTTACATCAAAATTCTTTCAATGAAAGCAATGTTTTAAAAAGAGGCGAATTTGTTGTGAAAATTAATTTTAATAAATAATTTGAAATGCATTCTTCTTAATAAAGTTTGAAATATTTGAAAAATTGTTTCTTATTCTTCGATTGAAAATAAATATTTTAAAAATTTGCCAAAGTAAAAAACTAACATGCTTATTTTAAACACTTGCGTTTTACTATGTTAATTTAAAAATCTTTCTATATTATTTATCATAGTCTTTAAACTTAGAAATTCTTTCTTAAAAGGTAACAAGTATAAAATAACTTTTACTTCTAAACAAAAAAAAATTCAAATTTTTGACAAATTGCTTTATTTCCAGAATAAATTTTACCAAACTCAAAGTATATTTTACTAATTTTTAATAAAATTTACTCTGGAAATAACGATTTTTATAATAGAAAAATTTACTATTTTCATTGTTAATTTTTGTATATAAAAATTATTCAAAATTTTCTCGAATATTACAATTAGCTTTTAAAAATTACTTTTGAGTAAATTTTAGGTACTATTTTTAAAGTGAATTTTTCTAATTTAAAAAAAATTATTTTTGAAAATAGTTAAAGTAGCTCTGGAAATAAAAATTTTTTATATTAAATTTTAGGTACTATTTTTGAAGAAAATTTTAAAAAGCTATAATTAAGAGAAAAAGTGAATAAAATTTTTAAATAAATTTTATGCGTTATCTTAATACAATAATTTTTACTTATTTTGGAAACTCTTCCTTTTTTAAACCGAATTCCCTTTTTGGAAAATAAAATCCTCTTTTTTACCTAATATTACGAAAAAAAAATCACTTTGATCCCTGAAATAAATATGCATTTCTCAGTTGTTTGTCGATAACCATCAACTGAATAGATAAGCATTTAATTCATTATAATTTTTGTGTGTTTCAATATATTCAATTTAAATTTATTCTTAGGAATTATTATGTCTTTTGAAATTTTTAATTTAAATCTATTTTTTTATTAATTAATTTTTAAGGTCTCTGAAGTTGGCGTCGACGCTCAGCGTCGAAAATTATTATTTGTGGTTTTTAGAGACGAAATTTTCACTAATTTCACTTCTTTTATTTGCCTATAGAAATAAATTATTTTTTAGGGAATTTTGGTAATATAAATATTATTTAAGAATATTATGATATAAATGTTCATTTCACTTACATTTGATGAGAAGTGCTCGGTCTTGGCTATGACTAACGTGTTGTGACAGAGAATGTAATAATATTTGCGCGGTATGATATCTCTGAAAACATTCGGCAGGATTTCCGAATAATTCGTCCAATGCTGCCGATTGGCACTAAAAGGAAAAAATTAATTTTAGAAAGATTCAAAGAAATTTTCTTGTTACGGTCAATAGTTCCTATAATTACCATTTGAATAGCGTGATTATAGAGTATTTTGTCTGCAGTTGCTCCAGTTTGACGCAAAATACCAGCACTGTTCAATTGTTTACACTCAGCCAAACACGATCTGAACTTATCATTCATTGTACTGACAACTGGAATCAAACATTAATAGAAATGTTAAAAAGTCAGGAAAGCAGTTTACCATTGGTAAATATCAAGCATCACAGTACTTTTTATCCTCAAAAAGGTGTTAAGGGAAATTTTTTTCTTAAAAAGGGGACAAAAAATATATCAAACAACAAATTAAAATTAGAGCTGTGCAAAATAATTCGAACCGAACTGTTTGAATTTTTTCGCCTAGTTCGAATGTCGAAAATTCGACATTCGAATTACTACAAAATTCGAACCGAACCGAGTTTTGTTCGGTTTTGGAACGCTAAAATGTCGAATTTTCGACATTCGACATTTTAGCGCCCCAACACCGAACAAAACTTGGTTCGAATCGAATTTTGCACATCTCAAATTAAAATGTATTAAAATATATATATCAACAATGTATTAATATTTAAATTTTCAGAAATTTCAAATTTAAACCTTTTTGAAATTCAATAACTTATAATAATAATTAAACATGATCGAGTGATAAAATCATTATTTTATATTAGATATAAGAATATTGTTACTGTAATTTTTTCAAAATTATTTCAGTTTATGAATTCCCTGACTAGAAAAGTAAATTTTTATAAATTGTTATTTACTTTGTTCGAAGGTAATTAAATCTTAAAAAATTATGATAAAACAATTCTAAGAATTAGTTTTTAAAATATTTAAATTTCCCGGGCAAACATTTTTTTTCCTGTCAATGTCATTTCCCTGATTTTACTGACAAAAATTTTGTTTTCCTGACATTTCCTTGATTTTACTGATATGTGGCCCCAATGAAAAATAAATAATTTATTCAATAATTGAAAATTTTTAAAAATTGAATTCTCATAAAAAATGTAATCAACAAATTTTTAAATAATTGAATTCTTTTGACAAATAATAAAATTTTTAAGAATAATTACATTTTTCGAGGAATTTGATTAAAATGTATTGAAAATAATTTAAATTCTGCAATGAGTTTTATTATTTATGAAATTACGAAATAATTAAAAAATTCCTAAAAAGAATTTTATTATTTATGATCTAATTGAATTATTGCCAAGAAATTTATATAAAGTTTTGTAAATAATAGAATTCCTGTAAAACTTTTATTATTTGTTGGAAAATTTTATTAAAATACATATTAGATATTGAAAATCATTGAATTAAGGAAAATTTTTGAAAATAATCGAAATTTTGCCAAGAATTTTTAATAGAATTTTTGAAAATAATTGAATTTTGGACAAGAATGTTATTATTTATAAAAATATTTGAAATTTTTTTTTAATTTTAGAATATAACATGAATTTTTACGAAGAATTTTATTACTTTTGAAAATACTTGAATTTCTGCAATAATTTGTAACTTTTTCAAACTTTCATTTTTTTTAGTGTTTTTAACTAAAATTCTTCTAGAAATCCATTATTTTTAATAATTAATTATAAATGTATATTTAAAAAATCAATTAATTTCAGAAGAATTTGAATTATTAAAATTTTTCCAAAATCTAAATTCTTTAAAAATTTTAATTAAATTCTTTCTAATTAATTTCTAACTAAATTTATAAAATTTCAAATTAAAACCTTTTGAAGTTAATTTATTTAAGAAAATTGTAAACGCAACGCTTTTAAAATTAAATTAATTTTGAAATATTTGAGTAAAATTATTCATTAAATAATAATTTATAAGTCATAAATTTATGATAGTTCTTCAAGAATTTAATTATTAAAAAAAAATATTGTCAGAAACATTAAAAATTCAAGGTTTTGTATTAGAATTCGTGGTAATTTCATAGCTTATGAAGCAAAAGGGAGTTAATTATTAAATTAACTCCCTTTTGGAGGAAAATTCTTATTTTTACTGTGTAAATTTTAACTCCCTTCATTTAACTCCCCAATGGGTGCGACTTTTATAGAATCCCCTGGGGAGTTAAAATTTAACTTCCTTTTTTTAAAGTGTACTGGTAGCGCTTTATGAATTAGATAAAAATTGGTTACTAGTTTCGATGTGAGACAATATTTTTATTTTGAAAAAAGTTGTCCCCTAAAAATTACCTTCTTTAACGCTGGCCGTTGGTTGCAATCTGCCTGCTTTGAGCTGTTGTGTCGCGAGACTCAATCCAGAACTGAGCCACTGAAGAGCTCTAACTAAAAGAATAACTTGCTCAGCTCTTCTTCGAGTAGCGGCATTGCTCGCTTGTTCAATAGCACCCAAAGGCGCTCCCAAAGGACCAGCTCTAGTTCGCGCAACTTCGCAGACACATTCACACAGGGCTACGACGAAATTAAGCTTTGCCAGTATTTCATTGTGATCCCTTTCAAGTAGAGTTTCCTCCGGCAATTCCGGAGCAAAGAACGTCAGCAGCCTATCATCTGTCGTTCCTTGATTAAGCTCAGGAAAGAAGCTCTGAAAATTGCCTGCCTCTGAAATAAAAAATTAAACCCATTGCTGTTAATCTCCACAGAATTAAATTTTTTTAAAGTTTCTACTTTAAATAGTTTAATGTATTTTCTTGTCGCAAGGAAATGCAGTCGTGAAGAATAGATATTTTCAGTTCAGAAATAAATGTTGAAATTATGCAACAAGAGAGATTTGTTATTGGACTTGGAATCAAAAGAGTTTAGGAACACATTTTTATGGCAATAGAAATACATATTTCAAGATGTGTTTAAGAGATTGCAATAACAAATTATGAAATATTACCTGAAATTTCTGGCAACGTGACTGCTCTGGTTCCAAAAGGTATGACTGGCGAATGTCGTAAAGTGTTGTTGTTATCCTGAAGAGTCTTCGCAGTGGGGGAACCTAACACTGCTAAAGGTCCAGTGAGAAGTGGCGATGAGGCGCTGTTATTTCCAGATGATCGTCTCAGTGGCGATGTTCCAGTGGAATTGAGAGAATGCCTGGCAACTGGACTCACTTGCCAAGTGTTGGGTGGAGGAGGTGTTTCACTCAATCTTAAAAGAGAGGAAAATTGAACAATTTAATATTTAATACAATTATGTGACCTGGTAAATTATTTAAAAGGGATCTTAAGCCCAAAATCATGTTTTCGAGAAAAACGCTCTTAAACAGGGTTGCCACAGGTCAGGGAATTAGGGGAAAAGTCAGGGATTTTTATTTAAGTACTGGAAAAAAATTGAATTTTGGAGAAGTTACAATATGATTGCAGAATATCAATTATTTTCAAAAGTAATAAAATTTTTCGCAGAAATTCAATTATGTTCAAAAATTTTTAAAAATTCTCATCAAAATTCAATTATCATTAAAAATAATAAAATTCTTCTCCAAATTTTAATTGTTTTCAAAAATTTTAATAAAATTCTTTGCAAAATTTCAATTATTTTCAAAAAAATTTCCAATTTTCTCTATTCAATTATTTTCAATATCTACTATTTTAATAACATTTTTTAAAAGAATTCAATTATTTAAAAAAAATGTTGATAAAATTCTAAGCAAACATTAAATTATTTTCATAAATAATAAAAATTTCACAGGAATTCAATTATGTTGATAAAATTTGTTATGATAATTAAATTTAAAGAAACATTCATTTATTCAGTAAATTATTTATTTTTGTATTTAAATAATTGAATTCTCGTAGAATTTTCCAATAAAAATTGATTTGAAAATTAATATTAATGAATATGTTAAAAGCATTATAGCATGAATTTTTAAAAATAATTAATAATTGAATTGTTTCGAAGAAATTTAATAAAATTTTTGAAAATTTACATTTTTCGAAAAATTTACTTAAAATTGTATTAAAAATAATTAAAATCCTGTAAAAATTTTTATTAATTTATGAAAGTAATTGAATCCTTGCAACAAATTTTATCAAAATTTTTTTAAATAATTGAAATAATGTAAAGAATCTTATTATTTATGAAAATAATTGAATTCCTGCAACGAATTTTATTACATTTTATTTAAATAACTAAATTCTTTTGAAAACTTTTATTAAAATAGTAAATTTTGAAAATTTTTGAATTTCAGCGAAGAATTTCAATATTTGTGGAATGTAATTTAATTCTTGCAAAAAATTTTTGAAGATAATTTCATTTTTCGAGAAATTTATTTAAAATTGTATTAAAAATAATTGAAACCCTGAAAAGAATTTTATTGTATATAAAAATAATTGAATTCTTGCAACGAATTTTATTATAATTTTTGTAAGTACATAATTTATTTTTTTTTTGAAAATTATATGGAAATCTAAATTTTTATAAAACATGAAGATATAAATTACATTTTTTTGTTAGGAATCAAAAATTAACTTCAAACTGCGAAGAGATTCGGGAATTCAACGATTATTGTTAATAAAGATTTTGCAAAATAAATTAAAAATAAAAATAAGAAAATTGAGTCCTTATTGAGAATTCTATTCGTCACCTATTTTTTCCATTTTTAAAAGTATTTTTTTTACTTGAAAACTTTAGTTTATCGATCGATTTTGATTTCCTAGAATATTAAATTTTACGTAAATGCAAAAAAACAATTTTCCATACAGATATTGAAGAAATGCTTTCTTCCTATTTACTTTCTCTTCTTCGATAAAAATCAAAAACAAAAGAAATAATTTTGTTAAACTATCAGTAATTTACATTTCGTGTTAGTCAGAACACTTTTCTCATAATTTTACACTCAACTCTACAATAACAAACTGTAAAGTATCCTCGACAAATTTTTCACTCTCTCCAAAAATACAAAATTGGCTCAGACAAATCGCATTTTTTTCAAAAGTATAACTGCAAAACTAAAGTGTTATTTTTTAATATTTAAAAAATATAATTTCAAGTTATTAATTATTTTACCAATTTAATTATTATTCCTGTACAATTATTACAAGAGAAATTTTTTTTCATTTTTTCCCTATTACACTATTGAAAAAATGTTTATAAAATTAATAATCATCACTGTGTTAATTATTTTCAACAATCCAAAAATTAGTGGAGAATCCGATACAAAATGGATAGACAGTTTAACTAAAAGTGTTCAAAAGAATAAAATTCACCAGACAATATTTTTCATAAATGAAGTAAAAGTGACGAAGAATCAAATAGTTGAGAACCTAGTGAGAAAGTTTTCGAAAAATATCCCAGTCATAGAAATTGTCACACCAAACTATGAAATACCGACAGAATTCGATTTTACTCGATACAATCCAAGAGTTTCGTTATTTATTCTCTCGAATTCGGAAAAAGATCCCCCACTCGTTCGAACCATCGATTTCTTGACTAAACTGTCAGAAGCGAAACGTCGACCAAAATGTCTGCTACTTCTATTCTACAAAATTGAAAATTATCGAAAATTTTTCGAACAACTCTGGCATCGTCAATTTCTCGATGTTACTCTAATTGAAATTGGAAAAAGAATAATTGGAACCGATTTAATTGTTCATACGAAAGATCATTATCCTGATCAGAAGATGATTAATTACAATCCCTTCTTAAAATTGATCACTAACAAAACACTAAGAACAAATAATGTTTGGTTTCCGGACAAACTAAAAAATATGCACGGTTATCAACTGGAGGCAATTTTACTTTTCGCTCCTCCGGACGTAATTATTCCCCAAGATCCTTCGAGTGAAATTTCTGGTTTAGCAATCATGAAAATAGAGGCTTGGGAAAAAGTGATAAATTTCAAAATGGTAAGATCGCCACTTCGAGAATGGGGAAAATTCGGATGTACAATTAAAGATAGCACTGGCGTTTGTCTCTATGTATATGCAAATAAAGCACAAATTTTAGGCGTCGAAGCTCCCGTAGCATTATGCGACGGAAAACCAAGCGAACTCAGCAAAAGTATCCAAGCAAGTAAAATCGGAATGCTCGTGCCACTCGTAAAAAAAGACATCGAAATCGATCAATTAAAATGGCAAATAAAAAGTATTCTCACGGTTGTAATTTTACCCATTTTCTTTTGGATTGTTTCCGTACTTTTGGACTTTTCGAGAAAAAAATGGAAGCTCCACTACATGTTTCAAATAACCCTGGGCAATGTAATACCACAGGAACCGCAAACATTCGGTGAGAGAATTATTTTCATCGCATTTATCATCGGATGTTTTATGTTCTCGTCGGAGATTTACACAGCTATAAATCGAGTCCAATTGAAAGGAAATTCACCGTATAAATTCGAAACTCTGGAAGATGTTGTCGACTCGAATGTACAGATAATTATTAACAGGAACTATGTAAGCATTCTGAATACTTCTGATGATGTTATTATGCAGAAAATTTTGAAAAATGCTGTCGTAGTGACTACCCATCAAGAAGAATGCGTGGAACGTTTATTGAAGTACAAAAATGTGACTTGTATTCTACCAGTCCTGAGAGCAGAACTACAACTTCGGAATAGAAGAGATGAATGTGGACAACCGCTTTCAAAATTTATTCTCGATAAATTTCTCTATGATTCCGGAGCTACTCAACTTGGTGCTGGTGTTCCTTACGCAAAACGCTTCGATCAAGTGCTTCAGAGAATTATTGATTCTGGTATTAGAAACAAGTGGTTGGAACCATATTCTGGGACAAATGCTCCGTTATCTAAAATCGGAAAATCTTGCACTAACAATGAAATGGAACCTGTTATGACCAAGCGGCAAATAATAATTGTTCTCGTCACTGGTTCTTTCTGTTCGTTTGTTATTTTTATTTTGGAGCTTATTACCCATCGTGTCTCTTAAAGTAATCGAACTTTATTTCAAAAAGTTTCTGTAACATAGTTCCAAATTAATAAGAGAAAAAAATGCTTAATTCATTTTTCTAGTATAAAATTATTAATATTTCCCTCATTCATTTCTATCCAAATCTGATTTTAAATTTTGTAATTTTATACAGAAATTAGCAAATGTTACGCGCTGAACATGCTAATCAGTTAACTATAATAATCTGATACTTTTGTCTTTAATTCATTGTCTGCATTTTTAAGTTAGTTTTTATGGTTAATTATGATTAACAAATAAAAAATATACCCATTTTGTTTATTATATATGCTGTTTTCTATAACAAATTTCCTTTGACAAAACATTCAAATTTAAATCTTTTGGAAATTCAACAACTTATAAGAATATTGTTACTGTAACTTCTTCAAAATTATTTCCATAATTTAAATTCAATTATTACTTTCTAGAATTTTTAATTAAAATTCTTCTTTAAATCAATTATTTTTAATAATTTTGGAAAAAGTTCTTCGAGAATTTTTAAATCCATTTGTTTACAATTCAATTTTGTGAAATTTCGAATATTCGAAAATTTTTCAATTAAATATATATTAGAAAATAAAGTCAAATAATTAAAAAAAATTCCTAAAAAAAATTTTATTATTTATGAAAATAATTGAATTATTGCGAAGAAATTTATAAAAAATAGGTAAATAATTGAATTCCCGTGCAATTTTTATTATTCATGAAAATAATGAAATGTTTGAGTATAATTTTGTGAAAATGTTTTTTAAATAATTGAATTCTTTTGAAAAATTTTATTAAAATAGTATATATTGAAAATTATTGAATGGAGGAAACTGTTTAAAAAAAATTGAAATTTTGCAAAGAATTCTATTGAAACTTTTGAAAATACATAAATGAATTTCCAAGAAGAATTTTATTATTTTTAAATATAATTGAAATTTTGAGAATTTTTTTAAATTCTTGAACATAATTTAATTTCTGCGAAGAATTTTATTACTTCTGAAAATAATTGAATTTTTGCAATCATTTTCTTATAACTTCATTATTTTTAATAATTAATTGAATATACATATATTAAAAAATTCAACTAATTTCAGAAGTATTTAAATTGTTAAAAGTTTTCAAACTAAGTTCTTTAAAATTTCTAATCTATTTAAGAATATTGTAAACACAACTCTTTTAAAATTTAATTAATTTTGAAATCTTTAAAAATAAAAATTATTGTAGGAAATAGAAAAAATTGAAGGTTTTGTATTGGAATTTGTGGTAATTTCATAGTTTAAGAAGCAAACAAAAAAGACATCAAAATTTAGAATTTTTTTATGAATTCTATAAATTAAATTTTGTCTATTACTTTTAATAAAAATCCCTGACTTTTCCCTGAATTCCCTGTCTCAAAATATACGATTATTATAGTTATAATTGTATTAAAACTATATTACAATTTATATTTTATTTTTATGAAAAAAATAATTTGAATTTAAATAATTTTTAAAATTGCTAATTTTATTCAAAAAAGCAGGTAATAAGTTAGCCGCGCTCTTTAGCGCGCGAATTATTGCTAGTTTATTATTATTATGCAAATTACAAATTACTTTTTTCAAATATAAACTTCAATTTTTGAATAATTTCAGTTTGAAAATTCTTTAAATTCAGTTATTAAGTACATCATTAGTTATTATTATTGATCATATTTTTAAAAATTGTAAAATAACTCTTCGCAAGAATTCAATTATTTTTATAAATAGTAAAATTCAGTTATTTTTAATACAATTTTAATAAAATTTCATGAATGAATTCAATTTTTAAAAAAAAATTTTCCAAAAATTTTAATTTTTAAAAAAAATTTAATGAATTCTTCGAAACAATTCAATAATTTGTGAAAGTAGTAAAATTCATCGCAAGAATTAAATTAATTTTTATAAATAATAATATTCTTTTCAGGAATTCAATTATTTTCAGTAAAATTTTAATAAATTTCAATAATGAAATATTTAATTATAATTATTAACATGCAGACACAATTATTTAAATTTTTTTTTAAAAATTCTTTATTTTATTCAATTATTTTCAAAATTTTTAATTAAAATTAGCCAAAAAACTACATTACTTTGAAAGAAAACTTAAAGAAATTCTTCATAAGAATTTAATTATTCACAAAAACTAATAAAATTGATAAAATCAGTTTAGTTTTCTGTCAACAATTTTAATAGTAAAATTATTAATTAAAATTATTAACAAAATGGATTAACTTCAATAAATAAAGGGGATCCAACTTTTGACATTGCAGATCGAAATTATTAAAAATTTGCAACAACCTTATTTTATTGAAAAATAGAAAATTTGTTGACCTATAAATTTGGGAAACTCATTTTTTAACATAAATACACAGGATAAGTATTTTATTTGTTGTAATTATTTTTAAAAAATTAAATATGATAGTTATAGTTTTCCTGTAACAGGTCTAATAATTATTATTAGACTAATAATAATTATAGTCTAATAATTATTATTATAATTATTATTAATAACACTGTTCGACAAAATTTTTCTACAAGAATAAATGAAAGTGATTCTTACAGGATTTTTGACGTAGATTACGAATCTGTAAGTGAAATTGTCCCATCACGTCTCAATTTTGAGAAGAACGGGGTCAAAGTGCAAAAAAATGGCTTTTATGGCACTTTTTGAAGTACAATAAAAAAGAACGCGACGTGATAAAATGCTCAAATATGGCTTAAATGAGAGCTCAAACCATCAACTTTAACATCCAAAAGCAAAAAAACATTTAGAAATAACTCAAAATTGTTGGGAACAACTTTTTGCCGCATGCGCGTAAAACAGCTATTATTTTAGCGATCATATAGGGTAAATTGGTAAAAAATTGTTCTCACAATATTAAATTATTTCTACATGGTTTTTTGCTTTTGGATGTTAAAGTTGAGGGATTAAGCTCTCATTTAAGCAATATTTGAGCTTTATATCACGTAGCGTTCATTTTTTATTTAACTTCAAAAAGTGCCATAAAAGACATTTTTTTGCACTTTGACCCCGTTTTTCTCAAAATTGAGAAGTGATGGGACAATTTCGCTTACAGATTCGTAATCTACGTCAAAAATCCTGTAAGAATCACTTTCGTTTATTCTTGTAGCAAGAAAAAACCTTAATTTTGTCGACCAGTGTAATTATTATTAATTATTATTATTAGGATTATATTATAATTATTATTAATAATTAGATTATAATCTAATAATTTGACAAAATCCGTTTGAATTTTATGTTTTAGGTGAATCTACTTTTCATAATCTTGATCACCGCAATCTGTGTTTTTCATGCAGACCTAATTAAGATCGCACAAAACACTTCCATTTTTAAATATTTAAAAAAAATTTTTATTCGAATTTGAAATTCTAATTGTCTACTAGTTGGATTGCCCTAGTGAAGTTTTTCCTTCAAGGTCGATCGATGTTTAAAACCTCGATATTTTTTTATTTCGATGTTTCCGATGTATCGAGATTTTTTCCCGACATTTGAAATCGATGTTAATTAAGTGGGGGAAAGAGGTTTTTTTAAAAAAAAATATCTCCTTTATATTTTGCCTCTAGCAATTTGTATTTTATCTTGTAAACAATTGCTCTTAGCGCATTGAAAATCTTTAAACACAAATTGGTATACACAAAAAATAAAAAAGATATTTCAAAAATAGTATTTGCCCCTCTTTAGCACTTTTGCTCCATTTTCCCCTAAATTTTTATTAAAACCAGCCAATATCGTAGGTTTTGAATTGCCCAAAATGTGAATCATCCTAAACTGCTAAACTATAAAATGCTATAATAAATAGTGAAAATTAAAATACGACTGAGTGATGTAATCATCTCTACTCTTATAAAATGCTATATTTGTCTTATAATATATTAATTAATATAATTTAACTGATAGAATTTAATTTTCATTGATTTCTATATTTCATTGTACTTTAATTACTTTTCTATTGAAAACTGGAAATTGCGCTGTTAAAAATTACCATTTTGATTTAAATCTTTTTAAAATCATCGATGTTTTTCTTTCGATGTCCCATCATTAGGTTGCCCCGTTAAATAAGTTAAATTTTGAAGATTCTAGATTTACCTTCTTCCTGGTGGAGTGCCAATGACAAATTGCACACTAGGTGGACTTAGAGAGCCAATATCAGGAGCGTGCGTTCTATGTGAGTCGACGCTGCACTTCATACTGATAGGTTGAGATCGAGGGATGACATTGTTGCTTGATCTGCCTGAAGCCGAAGGAGACGATGGTTGAGCAGCACTTCTCTGTGTCGGCACAGGAATAGGTTCTGAAATTGGTAGAAAACAAGGTCGAGGAGGGCTCACTGCTTCACGGCTGTTTTGCTTCGTATATCTGCTGAAAAAATTATCAATTAAACACTTGTATTCAAAGAGCAATAAATGAATATAAAAATATTTAGGTACTTGATCAATTGTGGATTCGGGTTGTTGTCAGCGTCACTACTCAAATCACTGGGCACAAGAACAAAGTCATCTTCAGGACTGGAGCACGGGCTATGCGTTTCAGGACCCGATCTCAGGACAACTCTTTCTGGAACTGGCAAAATACCAGGAGACGCTGGCAATTCAACCGGAACTGGACTCTGATTCTCTCGGGGTCCTTGTAAGAATGAGTGATTGAAAAATTCATCAAAAGACATGCGGTCTCTTGCATTTCGTCTCAGGAGGCCAAGCAATAGATTCGATAATTCCGGAGACGTTCCAGCTGGAATTCTACGAAATTATGTCAATTAGTATTCAAGTCTAGAAATTTAGAATCGTGGCAAATCATCCAAGTTGTCAACTTACTTTGGACCCAAATTGGCATTCTTCTCGTAATAAAGTTTCAGCGCTTGGGGTGTGTGTGCTTGGAAAGGAGCTTTACCCGTGAGACATTGGAAAACAATTGTCCCAAGGGACCACAGGTCTGCTTTTGCGTCGTATTGTAAGGACATGATAACTTCGGGAGCCATGTACATCGGAGAACCACAAAGAGTCGCAGCCATAACTCCATCTTGTAGAAATCTCGCGAATCCAAAATCCGCTACGAAATAATTTTAACTTAGTCTCTTGAGAATTTTTTTTCTTTCTTCAAGTTTCTTGAAAATTATTACTTACCTATTTTGAGGGTTATTTGATGAGGCTGAGGACAAGCTTTTCCACAATTATGACTGAGGAGAATATTTTGCGGCTTAAGATCTCTATGGACTACTCCTTTAGCGTGTAAAGCCTTCATTGCACCAGTTAATTGCTTGAGAAATACTCTAATTGTATCCTCTGATAGAGTTCCTTTAGCTATTTAAAGACACGGAAGAAATTTTTATTTTTTACATCAGTAAACAATGATTGAGGATTTTAAATTTTATAACTTACAGCCTAGATAATCAGCCAGATCACCGCCATTGCAAAACTCCATAACTAGGAAGACATTATGATGTGACTCCTGCGGAGGAAAGGTAAAAAAATTAAGATACCAAGTTAGGATTTACCGTTTCGTTTCATTTAATTATTTATTTATTCACATTAAAAAGTAAATACAAAATACCAAAAATTCTTAGAAATATATCTCGAAAATTAGTATGTAATAACAATACAACTGCATAATTTCAATGAGAAAGTAATTACATACCTTACAATCTAATAAAGCAACAACATTCTCATGATGCAGCTCCGTCAACTCCTGTAATAAAAATAAATTTTTAAAATATAATTACCGAAATCACAGTTAGTGATTTTTACATGTAATATTAGGTAAAAAAGGGATTTTTATTTTCAAAAAAGGAAATTTTGAAATTAACTTTATTATTGTATTTTATAGCGTATAAAATTTATTTTAAAGATATTTTTTTTACTTTTTCCCTTAAACAGAAAGAAAATAAATATTAAATTTTATAAAAGTGTTTTATATTTTGGAGAAAAAATGCGACAAAGGAAAAGTTCGATGTAAAAAATACTATACATTATTTTTTTACAGAAATTAAGATATTCAAAAATTTGAAATTCAATAACATATATATGTAAGAATATTATTATAAAACATGAAGATATCGATCACTCCAAATCTTCGACTCGGAGTGATCGCTCTCTTCATGCTTTATAATAATTAAAACATGCTACTTTGTTATTGTAACTTCTTCAAAAATTATTTTCATTATTACGATTATTCATTTCTAGAATTTTCAACTAAAATTCTTCTTTAAGTCAATTTTTTAAAAATAATTTTGGAAAAAGTTCTTTGTGAATTTTTAAATTTTTTTGTTTACAATTTAATTTTAAGAAATTTTGATTATTCTGAAATTTTTCAATTAAATATATTAGAAATTAAAAACTTCAAATAATTAAAAAAAATTACATTAAACTTATTGAGAAAAATCAATTCTACAGAATTCTTAATTAAAAGTATGAAAAGTTCAAATATTCAAAGATTTTAATTTGAAATTCATTTTTAAATCAATATTTATTAGAAAATTCTACGAGAATTCAATTATTTAACTATAAAAATAAATATTTTATTAAACAATTGAATTCTCATAAAGAATTTTATCAGTAAATTTTTAAATAATTAAATTCTCTTGACAAATTTTAATAAATTTTTTAAGATTAATTGCATTTTTCGAGAAATTTGATGAAAATTGTATTAAAAATAATTGAAATTCTGCCAAGAATTTTATTAAAAGTTTTGAAAATAATTGAATTTCGGACAAGAATTTTTGTAAATTTTTAAACCTAATTGGATTTTTGCGAAGAATTTTATTAAAATTATTTTTAACTAATTGAATTCTTTTAGGAATTTTTATTAAAGTTGTAGATATTAAAAATCATTGAATTGAGGAAAGTTTTGTAAAATAATTAAAATTTTGCCAAGAATTTTATTAAAATATTTGAAAATAATTGAATTTCCGAGAAGAATTTTACTACTTTTAAAAATAATTGAATTTCTGCAATCATCTGTAATTGCTTAAAAATTCAATTTGTTTTAGTGTTTTTAACTAAAATTCTTCTATAAATCCATTATTTTTAATAATGAATTAAATACCTATATACTAAAAAATGTAACTAATTTCAGAAGAATTTTAATTTTAAAAATTGTTTTTAAATCTAAGTTTTTTTTATATTTCTAATTAAATTCATTTAAAATTGAAATTTTACAAAATTTTAAATCAAAACAATCAAACACAATAACTTTAGAAAACAACAATTTTCCAGGATTTCGATCGAAATTCCCTGACTTTTACAGGTTTTCCATGTTTCCAGGTTGCGTAGCAACCCTGTGAATTTTTTTTAAAGTTTAGTATTTTTTGGACCAAAATTTTGTTTAGAAGCACCATTTTCTTTTCCTGAAATTACAGCTTTTTTAAATCAAATTTTTTTTAAAAATGTTTTCTGTTAATTATTGATATTTGATATTTTATATCCTTTTTCCGTAGTCTGTAATTTCTTTAAATTTTTAATCACATTTTTTATTACAACTCTATTTTTGTTTTAAAATTCCATAAAATTTTCTATATCTGAAATAAATTGCAGTAAAAAATTAGTAAAATGTACTTCGAATTTGATATAATTTCCTTCAAAAATAATAAAATTGAATAATAAAAATAGTAATATCCAGAATAACTTATACTACTTTCAAAGAGAGTCATTCCATTATATTTTGACTAAAGTCGTTGCCGACTAATTTTAAAAAATTGTAATATTTGGCAGAAATGATGTTAAAGATATTAGGATCACCGAACAAAAAGAATTTTTTAAATATTTTTGATATTTATTGTAAAATAAGCATCTAAAGTATATGAAGTCGTAAAAACTGTCACTTTTTCATCTATTAGAAAATATTAAAGAAAACACATAATTTACTATAAAAACGTAAAAAATTATAATAATTTATTAAGAATGAATTGTTTTATTATTATAAATTGATAAAAACAATTATTAATAAGAACTATTAAATAAAAAATGATTTTAAAGTTCACCTGCCAAATAACCTAAATTTGCCAATTTCATTCACTAAATGTGAGAAAGAGAAATCATTAAATTGAATAAAACCTTATGAAATATAAAGTACCTGTGATTAACTTTTAGTTTTCCTTATCACTTTCTTCCTTTTTTCTTCATAAATGTTAAAAAATAAGCAATTAAAACTAGCACTTTGCTTATTTTCACGATTTTAAAATGTAAATAACTTCTGCCCAGAAAAATGAAAAATTACGAAAATTGGGCAATAATTAATTGATCACTAGATACACTCACTAGAAAAAGATTTTCTTTGGTCCCGAAGCTAGTTCTCGAATTAATTAACTTTAAACTTTTTACTATTTTTATCAGGTTAATACATGTGTTTTTTAAATGACGAAGTTAGCTCTTCTTGTTTAATTGTTTTGAACCAACTTCAGTTTTAAAAAAATCACATGTATTAACCTGATAAAAATAGTAAAAAGTTTAAAGTTAATTAATTCGGAAAATAGCTTCGGGACCAAAGAAAATCTTTTTCCAGTGAGTGTATCTAGTGATCAATTAATTATTGTCCAATTTTCGTAATTTTTTATTTTTCTGGGCAGAAGTTATTTACATTTTAAAATCATGAAAATAAGCAAAGTGCCAATTTTAATTGCTTATTTTTTCACATTTGTAAAGATAACCTACCTGAAAATTTCTTACTCAGAGGTTTTCAGGGTCACTGATTACGAATCTAAAGTCAGATTTTAAAAATTTTCAAAATTGAAAATGATGGACATCTTTTTCAAATCTGCTTAAATTCCCTTGAAACTTGTTATTCAGGGATTTTTGGTATCACCATTTTGAATTTTATAAATCTGACTTCAGATTCGTAATCAGCGACCCTAAAAACCCCTGAGTAACAAGTTTTAACAAAATCCAATAGCTGGGTTTCCCGGGGCACGAAAGGATTTTATTATTTTATTCAATTAAATAAAATATGTTTTGTCACTTTTACTTAAGAATATGTATTTATTGGTAAATTTTCATATATTTTATCTTTTCAAGGAAAAGATTTTTTTTAAGTGCTAGAAAAATTGTAATAAAACCATTTTTCTATAATAAACTTCATGCCTTACTATGGATAAAATTGTAATTCCTTCAGTGAATAATTGTGTTAACTTGTTTGAAAGTTTATAGTTTAAAGTGATTAAATATTTAACTACTTATAAATATACCTCCTCATTTTGCTATACGTACATTAAATAAAATATTATCTATTGTAGAATTAACCTTATATATCTATTTTACATATTTTCTATTTCTCAATAACAATATTGTTCAAAAAAATTACAAGTTTCTTTAAGGAAAAAAAAATTACGTAAGTCCTGTTTGTTAATCACAATTTTTGCAGAAAATTGTCAATTTTAAAAAAAAAATGTGAAAAAAGTGCAATTTTAAAACAAAATTCCAAGATTGTTTTGAGCAATAAAGTAAAAAAAAAGTTTATAAATTCAATTTGAAAGTCAGAATTTTTATTTTGAAACAAAATTAAGAATTTTAACAGATTTTTGTAGCAACATTTCTATTCTGTAAATAAAATTTTTTTAACAAAAAAATTTCAAGTTCTAAAAATTTGTAAATAAAATTTTTTTTAACAAAATTTCAAGTTCTAAAAATTTGTAAAACAGTTTTTTTTATGCTGAACGTCGACGCTAACTTTAAAAACATAATAAAATTAAGAATTTTTAAACAATTTTTATAAAATAAAGGGAAAAAATTCAATTTATCAATCCTATTTTTTTACAAGATTTTTAGTTTCTTTGGTAAAAAATTTCCATAATTTCTATTTTTAAGTCCCAATTTTTAACGACATTGTAATTTTTCATAAAAATCCAGTTTTTTCGACATTAATAAACAAAATTTACATAATTTCTATTTCTTCATCACAATATTTTTAAAAAATTAAAAACTTTGCATAAATTGCAATTTAACTGTTTTCAGAAAATAAATGAATTTTTAGCAAGAATTTTTTAACAATATTTCAAAAACTAATAAATTTTTTTTTAATAATTTTAATTAAAAATTTGGAAAATAATTGCTTTCTTGAAAATTTTAACAATAAAAAAATTATATTTTAAAAAAGTTATTAGATATTTTTTTATTTTTTTGTAAATATGTTCTTGAATCATCGAAAATATGTAATTAAAAAAAATTAAAAATACTTCAATTTTACCGAAGTATAATACAAAAAAAATTCTAGGAATTATTTTTTTACAATAATTTCTTAATATACTGTTTTTTAAAACTGTTTTATGTTTTGAAAATAGTTGAAAAAAGATTAAAAAGTTGAATTATCCGAGGCCTGTAATCACGATTTTCTAACAAAAACTTTTTGATTTTTGAGAACCAAACGTCAAAAATTGGCATAATTTTGTAAAAAATGTTGTTTTTTTAAGGGAAAAGAAAACATCGTGTATATTTAAAAAAATTCTCTTTTTCAAAAGTGCTATGTTCCTGGAAAATTACTCATATACGCTAATTAGAATCATTAGTGTATTTATTTATCGCAGTTCCAGATTTAGATACTGAGCATTTTTCTATGCTTTTTGATTTCTGTTAAAGAAATACTTTAAAAGAAATTAAATTTTGTTTTATTTTATAAAAGAAAATTAGAAATTTCCGTGAAAATTTTTTTTTTTATAGAAAATAATTGAATGTTCGCGTAGAATTTAATCAAAATTTTTGTGAAAATAAATGATTTTAATATTTTATTTTTGAATTCTTGTGGGAAATTTTATTAAAATAGTCGAATATTGAAAATAGTTGAATTAAAGAAAATTTTTTGAAAATAATTGAAATTTGTCGAAGAATTTTATTTGCTATTCATTTATAAAAATAATTGAAATGTTGACAATTTTTTTTAGATTTTTTGAAAATAATTGAATTTCTGCAAATAATTTTATTAATTTTGAAAATAATTGAATTCTTTTGATGAATATTGCTATTTATGAAAATAATTGAATTTTGCAATGAATTTTATTAAAATCCTGAAAAGAATTGAATTTCGACGAAGAATTTTGCTATTTTTAAAAAAATTGAAATGTTGACGAGAATTTTTTTTCAAATTTTTGAAAAATATTGAATTTCTGGAAAGAATTTTGATATTTATTAAGATTCTTTGGAAGAATCCAACTGAATTCTTTCAAAGAATTGCGTTAAAATTTTTAAAATTGAAACTAATTTCAACAGAATTGAAATTAAAATTTTTCAAAATGTGTAGTTACAATTAAATATCAAGAATATGAATTAAATTTTAATATAACTTTACTAAATATCTTTTAATTTATTTTAAAGTTCAGTACTTTTTATATCAATGAAATTTCGCTTTGTAGTATTTTTCCCCCAAATTTTAAAATATTTATATAAAATTTAATATTTATTTTCTCTCCGTGTAGTTATTAACAGTATAAAAATTAAAATTCAATTCATATTTTATTTTTATAAAAAAAATTAAAATCTAATTCATATTTTATTTTTATAAAAAAAAAATTTGATTTACAAAATTTTAAATTCTATTAGATTTAAAATTGTTAATTTCGTATAAAAAAGTAATTATAAGAAGTTATTTTTTTATTAATTTTTTCTTTTGAAAAAAAAATAAGAAATTAAACTAAAAGGCAATTACAAACCTTTAATATTTTGATCTCTTTTCCAAGAAGATTTTGCGACTTTGCAAGACTTTTCTTGGTGATGCTTTTGATAGCAACAACGAAATTAGGTTTCTGAAATGAAACAAGAAGAAAAGAATAAGGAAAATTGTTGAAAGTGATGAAGAGATGACATTGGAGAGAAGAATTGGTACTCACCTTGCTGTGCCTGCCTTTGTAGACAACGGCGAAGGCTCCATGACCTATTAGGTCCTTGGGATTATATTCGTAATCGCCGACAATCTCCATGATTGCGTATTAACGAAATCCTAAAGTTTGGTTCTGTTAAACTCAAACACGAACTAAAATCATTGCAGCAGCCATACAAGCGAGATGGGAAATTGCTATTGTAAGCTGAGAATAGGATCGATATAAAGAAGAAGTGATTCACTTGTCAAACTGCATAGAGAACAAAGTTTTGATCTTCGTTTTAATGTGTGTCCCTTTTATTGCGCACTCCTGCACAAAACTCAATTTCTTGGTCTACATTTTGCCACTTCACATAAATCTACATAATTATTTAATGTCACCAATTCTAATTGTGAAAGTGAAATAGTTCGTCTACTTGCTGCAGAGCAAACACACACACAACAATGAAAAACGTCAAACTCAAGAAAAAATAGAAGAACAGTACAAAAGCAGGGTTGCGCAGTTACACGTAAACACACGTAGATCGAGTTTGTGACGACGTATTTATGCGCATGTGTTACTACGAGTGTGACAGAGATGCAGCCTACAGTCTGTCGTGTTCGGACACGTGCGTTTTGCGTTGAGCAAGGAGTGTACACACCGGTCATCAAGCAAAAAGAAATGCGACTAAAATGGATCTAATATCTAAAATCTGTTTCAACAGGAAGTCTTTTCACCCTAAAGGTGCTTCTATACCTCCGGTGGATTGGTCAAGCAATCGGCTTGATGAATTTTCACGGTCGGAAAATGTACTTTCATGGCGGGTATTTTTGAAAAAGTAAATGTTGAAAAGGTTTTTACTTGAAAATTTATTTAAAAATATGATTTTATCATAGAAATTATTTTGAAAGTAATGTTAAAAAACATGTTTTATTTTAAAAGTTATCAAATTTTAATTCAAAATGTTTTAATTTTCCAAAGAAGTGTAAAAAGCCTAATGTTTTTGAAATGCTAGTACAGACGGTACAGACTGTTTGTTATGAATGTACATAACCTAGCGTTGTGTTATCGTGCTTGTGATATTATTATATTCTAAATTTAATGATTTAATTATATTAAATAATCAAAATAATAATGAACAGATAACACAACGCTAGGTTATGTACATTCATAACAAACAGTCTGTACCGTCTGTACTAGCATTTCAAAAACATTAGGCTTTTTACACATCTTTGGAAAATTAAAACATTTTGAATTAAAATTTGATAACTTTTAAAATAAAACATGTTTTTTAACATTACTTTCAAAATAATTTCTATGATAAAATCATATTTTTAAATAAATTTTCAAGTAAAAACCTTTTCAACATTTACTTTTTCAAAAATACCCGCCATGAAAGTACATTTTCCGACCGTGAAAATTCATCAAGCCGATTGCTTGACCAATCCACCGGAGGTATAGAAGCACCTTTAACCTATTAACACATAAGGCCAACATTATGGAGAGTCTACAACTCCACAAAAAGCACTTGCACACACTTCACTTTTAAGAAGATTAGAAGTTTTGAAACCAGGGGGCAAATCTTAGGTAGCGGGGATACGTAAAGCGTAAAATCCGTAAAATAAGGTCAATGCACAACTGCTTTGCGAACCTTAAGGCTGCGGTTACACCTCTGCAGGCAGCCTGTCTGCCTGCAGGTTGTCATGGTAACGTACAATAGTAAGAGAGTCAGTGACTTCAAACTTCTCCCTTACTCTCGTTGCTCCTGCCTGCGCAGGCAGGCAGCCTGCAGAGGTGTAACCGCAGCCTTAGGCCGCAGTCCCATGGCAGCGTTTTGCGTTGCGTTGTAATGAGAGAGAATGCAGCAAACGTATATTTGCGTCTTTTTCTCTCCCATTACGACGCAACGCAAAACGCTGTCATGGGACTCCACCCTTAGAGTGCAGTCCCATGGCACCGTTTTGCGTTGCGTTTTGTAACTAGGCAATGAGTGTGAGAGAGATGGAGATATATATTGGCTATATTTGCACTCATGGCCTAGTTACAAAACGCAACGCAAAACACTACCATGGGACTGTCATAGGGCCGTTCCAGAATGGACTCAAATGGTCTCGACGCAAACGCAGACGCGACGCGTCCCAATGCTAAAGGTGCTTCTATACCTCTGGTGGATTGGTCAAGCAATCGGCTCGATGAATTTTCACGGTCGGAAAATGTACTTTCATGGCGGGTATTTTTGAAAAAGTAAATGTTGAAAAGGTTTTTACTTGAAAATTTATTTAAAAAAATGATTTTATCATAGAAATTTTTTTGAAATTTATGTTAAAAAACATGTTTTATTTTAAAAGTTATCAAATTTTAATTCAAAATGTTTTAATTTTCCAAAGAAGTGTAAAAAGCCTAATGTTTTTGAAATGCTAGTACAGACGGTACAGACTGTTTGTTATGAATGTACATAACCTAGCGTTGTGTTGTCTGTTCATTATTATTTTGATTATTTAATATAATTAAATCATTAAATTTAGAATATAATAATATCACAAGCACGATAACACAACGCTAGGTTATGTACATTCATAACAAACAGTCTGTACCGTCTGTACTAGCATTTCAAAAACATTAGGCTTTTTAAGGCGCTCTCTCACCTCTACTGCCTGCCTGCCTGCACAGGCAGGCGCAATGAGAGTAAGGGAGAAAAAACATTTAATTTGAATTTTCTGACTCTCTTACTCTTATGTGTTACCATGACGACCTGCAGGCAGGCAGGCAGGCAGTAGAGCTGTGCGAGCGCCTTTACACTTCTTTGGAAAATTAAAACATTTTGAATTAAAATTTGATAACTTTTAAAATAAAACATGTTTTTTAACATTACTTTCAAAATAATTTCTATGATAAAATCATATTTTTAAATAAATTTTCAAGTAAAAACCTTTTCAACATTTACTTATTCAAAAATACCCGCCATGAAAGTACATTTTCCGACCGTGAAAATTCATCAAGCCGATTGCTTGACCAATCCACCGGAGGTATAGAAGCACCTTTAAGTCCAACGCACAATAGGTTCGCGAAAGTCGTTCGCGAACGAGACGCATGAGACAGACAAGGACACAAATATATCTCTGTCATTTTATTATTTTTTTTTTTATTTATTTTATTATTATTATATTATATATATTATTATTATTATTATTATTATTATTATTATTATTATTATTATTATTATTATTATTATTATTATTATTATTATTAATTATTATTATTATTATTATTATTATTATTATTTTATTATTATTATTATTATTATTATTATTATTATTATTATTTATTATTATTATTATTATTATTATTATTATTATTTTATTATTTTATTTATTTTTTTTTTTATTTTATTTTTTTTTTTTTTTTATTTTATTTTTTTTTTTTTTTTTATTATTTTTTTTTTTTTTTTTTTTTTTTTTTATTTTTTATTGCCTTTAGAATTGTTTCGTTGTGGACTCAACCTTAATCTTGGATCTAATGTAGAGATACCTTAAGCCCGTCTGGCTACCCAACCTAACATTATGCTATATACAATAGTGATGGGATATCGATATTAAATATCGGAACATATCGATATCTATGTCACGATAATCGATATTTTAATATCGATATTAACGTTTTGATATATCGTTACCGTTATCGATAAAATTTTTAATATCGATAATTCTAGCGCGCAACCGCGTAACGACCACACGATGTGTCACACGTTTTGAGTTTTTTTTTAATTAAGAAATTAAGTAACTATTAAGAAGTACTAAATATAAGTACCTAATTATAAAACTCTTATATTATAAAATATTTATAACGTAAACAAAACTTTTAAACCATTTTTTACATTGATTTTTAGGCCAACGCAGAATAAAATCTTTAATAATCGTAAGCGTAACGGTTAGAATAAGTTAAAGAAGGAAAGGTATATTGTTTATCCTTCTCTAACCCATTCTATGCTTTCGGTTACGATTACGGTTCCGGTTAAAGATCTATTCTGCGTTGGCCTTTATGTGGTAAAAATAATGTAAATTTTGAGGTTATGATTGTTATCCCTGTTCTTTGAATATATGCAAGTTCGAAAGTTTTATTGAAAGCTGTCATTTTTAAAGCATTAAAGGTCATCATTTTGTTTACATAAAAATATAAAGTTTGTTTTTATTTATTTCGGTTATTACAAATAAACAGTCTTTATATACTTAAATTAAATTTTCTATGTTCATTAATTAATAATTAAACGTTTTCTTTATATATTATATCTATAAAATATACATTAATATAAAAACCTTATTTTCCTATTCTAAAATTTTTTTATTTTTTTCTTTAAAAAGAAAGTGACTTAATTTATTTACGTTCTTTATATTTATTGAAAAATAATATTAAATAAATAATTATTAATAATATCAAATACACATTCAAAAATTTCTTAGAGTTCTGCGCATGCGCGATATCGTTTTTACGATATATCGATATTTATTTTCGATAACGATATATTTTTAAATATCGATATTACAGATGCAATATCGATAAGCGTAATATCGATATCAAATTTTTTCGATATCCCATCACTAATATACAATGCTATGTACGCTATACACAATGTTTAAATAATTCTGAAATATTTTTTAGCTTTATGTGTAATAATTAATAGTGAAAAAAATGTCTCGAAGAAAAAGTGAAAATTTAAAACGTTATTCTACAGTAGGTAGATTGAGCATAAATACTACAGGGAGCCTTGACGACGATTCGAATGTATTCAATGCAAGTAAGTTTCAAAACTTATATATTGAGAGTAACATAACAAATACTATAAAACCCCTTTTCCAACTTTCATATTAAAACAGTAGGTACTTTAATACTTGAACGTATAAATCCGGTAAAAAGAGGATGATTGAATAGAAAATTAAAATCTTTACAAATATCGCTGAAATCTGAATCATTTTAATGCCAAACCAATGTCACTTTTCAAATTTTGTGTAAACATTTTAATCTATTTTTATAAACCTCTTCTTACCGGGAATTTTAGTTCTATTAAATTCATCTAAATTTCTGTGCCATGGAAATATTTTTGGCAAATTTGATTCCTTTATTTTCAGTCTTAAGTAAAACTGTTTCACTCTACACATGGTAAATTATTGTTTATATTATGTATATTAAAATAACGCACGCTTGGATGCGTTAAAGTTTTTTTGTTTAAAGTTTATTCAAAATACTTAATAAATGAGTTTAGATTTTTTTTAAAATTAAAATGCTTCAGAAAAAAAATGGTTAAAAGTCCACAAGATTATGATCAACGAAAACATGTTTTAAATAAGTATATTATTCAAAGAGAACGCAAAAATATTGTCACAAAAATGTATAAAAAAAGAAGATTTTTATTTTTGCTTTAACAATAATTGTTGTATTTTTCTTTAAACCAATATTCGAAAACTTAAAAAAAAATTTCGTTGATCAACGTTGTGGACTTGAACTTTGTAAATGTGACCTATTTTTGACATGTTTTCAAAAAAAAATTTTCACAATTTTGCAAAGTTTGTAACTTTTTTCTGGATGCTTTAAAAAATTGTGGGTTTTGCACATATTTTAATATTCATATAACTTACCTTCTATTACAATATTACAATTATTACAATAATTACAATAAACTCAGATATTCATCTATAGATTCACAAATATTAAAACTAGATTTTTTAAAAATATGCCAGCAACCACTCTCAGATTTTCAGTAGATTGACCCTTTATTTAAACTAAAAAATATAAAATCAGTCATTATAGAAACTGACCCTTTGAATTTATACAATATTTTTTCCTTAATTAAATTAAATTAAAATAAATTGCTTTCTGTACATTCCATTATTATTATCATGTGTAAATATTGTAATAATATACTTCCCTTACCCTTATTAAATCTTATTACAGAAAAGGTGTAAAAAATTAACTAAAAAATTAATTTTTTTATATGGTTTTTTAACATATTTATTACAAGCAGCAGAAAAAATATTGCTGTTTCTTATAACTAATTCAAGTCTTCTAAAATATATGCGTGAAAGATTTTGAAAGAAAAAAGAGGTTAACTCGTTAACACCTTTTTCAGATTTTGACGATTTTGTCACAAATGGGGGTTAGAAACGAATTGAATACTTCTTACATATTTGTAATTTAAAGAAGATCGAACAATTATTTTCTTAAATGTTAGATGATCCTGTTTTCTACAATCGAATGGGACAGTTCAAGCGCTCCTTAGATGCCACTCATACAGAATCAAGTCATTTTGACTCGGAGTCACTAGTATCAGCGGGAACACCTCCCAAAAATTGGCACAAGAACTTGGATAAATTTAATAAAACATTAATGCATTCTCCTGCAAAGCGTAATCCTCATCATTTAAATACAGGTAAGACATTTTTAACTTTGTACTATATTATTGTATTCTCCAAATTTATTTGAAATTCTTTCTATTCAATTATTTTAAATATTTAAAAAGCAAAGTTTATCACTTTATCTTGAGAAGTCTGTAAAAGTCAAAAATTTTGTATATTAGTCCGTAAAGACACCCCACACTTTAAGCTTGTTTTAAAAGGTTTCTATTTGACGTAAAGTCAATTATGGGTAGTGAATTTTATTGGTTTTTTTAGTAAGGAAAACAATGATATAATTCATATTTTGATAAATTAAAAGAGTTTTGATAGCAAAACTGTCAAAAAAAAAAAAAAAATTGCAAAATTGCAAAATTGCAAAATGACTTTTTCTACAAAAAACGTTCTAGTTTCTTAAAAATTTGACTAATTTAAAAAATATTTTTGATTTTTAAAGTTCAATAGATACAATTTTAAGAAAAAAAAATTAGTTTTTGTATTACTTAAAAAACATAATTATTTGAACTACTAAAGTGAAAGAAATTAAAGACAATTGGCGAATAGTGAAAATCATAAAAATGAACTATAAAATGGACTTTAACAATTAATATAAATTTACTAAAAATAGTGTTATAAATTCAAAAGTTTACAAACTTAATATATCTGAATACAGTAGAGACTCCATTATCCGGACTAATGGATGCAGGCACTTGTCCGGATAATCAAAAATCCGGATAATCGAGTAAAGTACGAATTAAACAAATTTTTTATTCATAATTTTATGTATTTATTTGCATATGTATTAAAATAAGACTGAAATAAACTAAAACTTTTAAAGTCAACATTAATAAATATTTAGTTAGAAATATTTCAAAATATTTACATAAACATTTTCTTAAAATAATTAAAACACTTTAAAACGCAACATTTCGTGTAAATAAATTTAAAATAGAAGTTAATTAACGGCTTGAGACCTTGTAAACTTTATATTAAAAAAAAAATTTGTAATTTTAAATTTGTCCGGATAATCGAATATCCGGATAATAGGGGTCCGGATAATGGAGTCTCTACTGTATATTAACAATAAAATTTATAACTTATGAAGTGATTCTGTAAATTAATATTAAATCAAAGTTTTAATTAACAATTTTAAATGCATCTAAAATATGTTAAGACATTATTAACAATATAGAATTTATATTTTTAATTTTACTGTCATTTACCACATTTTTTTGTTTTAGAATTTAATCTCTGACTGTAGAGAGAGCACAGAAATTTTTAATACCTAAATCTTAACTCAAATTTTATAAGTAGTTACAAATACAAAATGTCTAGATTTTTCATAAAAGTAGAATTTTTGTATAAAAATGTTCCTTTTTTATAAAATACAACTTTTTCATGCATAACCTATTAATTTATACTTTATCAGATGATTTTAACTGATTTAAAATTATTTTTTAAAAAAATTTAAATTTACTTATTTTGATAATTTTTGTAACGCTAGGGAGTAACTGGGGTGTTCAGACACCCCACTCGTATTTTAACAGGAGATAGAGCTCTTCCTAAAGCAAAACTTTTGGCGGCACTACAGCTGTCAACAGCCTAAAACTTTCAAGTATTGTACTTGATGTTTTTTTTTAATAAAATAAAATTTCTCATTTTAGGACAAGTTGCAGAGCAAACTGGAAGAGAAATGTTTGCGTCGAACAAGTCCCCATCCGAAGAGGAGTCCCTGAACAAAACCAAAAATTCAGAATTGACTGACTTGGACAAATCTACTACTCTTAATTATTCAGAAGAACTCCTCAAGAAACGCAAACCACGAACTTTACAAAAACTTGGGAACATTGAAAGTAAATCGACAGATGTTTTTAAGAAATTCTTTGATGATGACAGCTCAAGCGATGCGCCTAAAGGGAAACAAGCTTCCTTGGAAATTTCAAACAGAAGGAGATTAAATGAAAGAAGCAAGTCGAAAAATTCAGAAACGACAGACTCGGACAAAAGCGTTGAATTCGATTATTCAGAAAAGCTCCTTAAGAAACGCAAACCAAGAACTTTACAGAAATTTGGAAACGTTGTAAGTAAATCAACAGAAAGTGTTTTTAAGAAATTTTTTGATGATGATGATGATAGTTTAAACGATAAGCCTAGAGAGAAACAAGATTCCATGGAAATTTCAAGCAGAAGAAGAAATACCTCCAACGAAAGTGCAAACGCGTCTCAAACTAAAGCAATTATATCAGTGAGTCGGAAGAGAAAGTTAGAAGGTCTTGAAACAAGTCACAATTCATCACTCACCAAGAAAAGGAGCTCAGCGGGATCTGAAAAAAGTGTTAATCTGTCACATAGTCCAACTATGTCGTTAAAGTATATAGAAAAAAGTGAAACGTTTACACAACCTCAGAAAGAGAAGTTAAGGGAGCTTTTAAATGAAAGTATCAGTAAAGCAAGACTTGGTAAAAATGAATCAACAGCAAGTCGGAAAGTATTGATCTCTCCTCCTATTGAAGGCGATAAATCAACCACCGAAATTGTTCAAGATTCAAATTTACAGTCGAAAAGTATCTCCAGACATTCACAAAAAAGCACTCATGTTCAAAATAAAAGTGCAGGAAAAAGGAGTTTTGTCATTAATGAACAAAGTGCTGTTGACAATTCAGAATCAGAAATTGACGTGGAATCGAGAAATGAACAAACTTTAAAGGGTGATGCGTTACAAAAAATTGCTCAACTTGATAATCTTCATGTGTTGAATGCTTCTCAAAGCGAGGAGTTGGTGAACAATAGACACAGTATTTCCGACAGCAATATTAAATTAAAATCTCCGAGGAGAAGTTCTCGTTTGAACAAAAGTGTTGAGTTCGAAAGGCAGTTTATATCCAGCCACTTGAGTAATAATTTCATTGAGGAGCCTCAATTTGAATCGACGAGGAAATTAGACTCGAATCAATCCAGGCCAAGTCCAAGGAAACGAGAAGCTATTAGGAAATCAAGATCGAGTGGCATCCAAGTTGTTGATGAAGGTTCAGAGATTAAGCCAAGTGCAGCAGTGCAAAGTGAAAAAACAGTGTCTCTTAATAACTCCAAGACTCTAAATCGAGATGTTAGCGATGAGAAAGAGGCATCTAATTACAATATCCAAGTTACTACTTCTAATTCTAGTCCTAAAAGTAGTACGTCGAGAAAGAGCGATGCAGTGAATAATTGGCCAAAATCAAACTCGAAGACTATTGGAGATGACCATTCCGAAAAGTCTCTTACAATTAGCTTATCTGAGGAAGGAAGCTCTCGTGCAAGTGTATCATCTAGAGAGGGATCTGTTGAGGAATTCCCTCACAACAGCAGTCAACGATTGTCGTCAAGCTTCAAGAGGAGCCCTCAAAAGAGTTGTTCGCCGGCAAGTGCCAATAAAAGTATCCAAGACACAGAGCATCGATCCCAAAAACCAAAAATTATCAGTTCTCAAATTGTAAATCCCAACGATATTGACTTGAACAAACTGAGAGGAAATTACAAAGAATCGCAGACTGAGGAGAGTGTTGAGGGCAACCTTGAGGGCAACCTCGAGAGATCCGGCAGAAATTTCAAGACTTTTTCGAAACGTCCTCGCGTATCAACAATTGAGGAAGAGTTCAGCCTGATGCATGGAGTTGAAGACGATCAAGTTCCATCCACTTCCGACGGTCGAACCGGCAATTCTCGAAATCGTACCACCCTTGTAAGCAATAATGTAAGCAATACGCTCAAGTCCACAACGCAGCACAATTCTTCCCTGAAGAGTCTGCGAAAAACATTAGAAAGCGAAGAAGACAGCGAATATAGCGATAATCCTTTGATAACCTATTATCAAGATGATGAAATTAATAAGGAAGAGAGTCCTACTTCTTCACCAGCCGCTGACAGAAGCAACAAGCAAAACAAGGAGAATGTTCCAGAACCAAATAAAGTTGAGGAAAATAAAAATATCAAAGACTTTGTTGAATCAAGAACTAGAGAAAGTTTAGCTACTTCAACAAAATCAGTTGCGAAACTCAATACGGATAATAGTGAGTTAATGACTGTTTCAGAAGTGATGAACGATAAGAAGAAATGGGAAGAATTCTATAAAAGATTGTCAGAAAATAAAAGGCAGACACAAAAGAGATTGGATGCAGCAGCGGCAGCGGCAGCTAGGCTCAAAGTTGAGGCCCAGAAGAAGACTGTCAAGCCAATTAAAGAAAAGAAACTACCAAAACCTGTTCATCCTGCTTATCTGGTGAATGGAAAAGTTTACAAGCAACCAAAACTTCCTAGGCCGATGCCTTGGGCCACAGACAGACTGTACGACTACATCTCGAAAAAGATAGAACCAAAATATGACATCAGAACGAGAATAGAATCCGGCAATATTGTTAATCATTTGGCTGCAGTTGTTAAGAAAACCTTGAAAGCAAAGTTGTTCAAAAATTATGCGGAGGAGCTTGGAAACCTGAAGAAACACATGGCTGAAGCAGGACTCATTGTTACTGACAAGGATTTCATAGATTTTTGCACCGAGTACCTACCAATCAGCTTTAGAATGAAGGCGACGCCAATGTTGCTTCCCGGCAACAAAATGAACATGCCTTACGATTGGTCAAAACTTTACACTCCTATAGAATATTAATAACTTTACAACACTTTATATGGTAAATTAAAAGGCTAAATTATCAAAATTATTGCACAAATGTATAAGCAAATTGTTGAAAGGCATTTATTACACTTACACTTTTATATTACATTCACAAATTTCTTTCGTTAAATTATCATTAGAATTCATGCAAAAAATTAAACTACATTTATCATAATATATTTCGCGCTTCAGTAAGTGTTAATATTTATTTTTCTAATGATTTTATAAGAAGAGAAAATGTTTCTATTTTTATAGTTACCCAAAGTGTTCCAATTATCTATAATTAATTTTACATAAAAATTAATTATTTTCATAAGAAATAAAATAATTAACAAACAGTAAAATGTTTTTAATGGAATATTTCATATTCTGTTTGTATTACGAGTTATTTGTATTTAATATACATATCTCAAGTCAAACGTGGATTTATATATGTTAAATAAATTATTTAAATAAAAATTTGTTTTTGCTTTAGTGAAAAATCAACTGTCTCGTTACTAAAACACATAAGAAAGTTTCCTTCTAATACTAACCGTCTATTAACCGGGAATAAGCCAGGAATTTTATGCCAAACAGGACATTTTTTCACCGAATTAAAAAAAGTTTCATTATTTTAATTTGTTTTTAAAAAATCGCTTTTTATTTCAATTTTTATAGATATTTATACTGTTTGATCTCAGTTTGAATTAGTTAAAAATAATTAATTGGATAGTAAAAAATCAGTCACTGATTCAACTTTTTAACAAATCGAATTTTCAAAGTATTTTAATTTAATAATTGATAATAATCACTATTACAAATACGTAGTTGAAGAAACTGATGAATTTGCTGCGTGTAAAAAGAAAGAAAATCTTTAAAAACACGAAGGTTCTCCAAGTCTGAAAACTATATTGGAACTCAATGTACAATTGGTAAATGTGACGCGTCGCGAAAAAAGGAGCTTAAACCTGCCTGCCTGCCTGCCTGCCTGCCTGCCTGTGCAAACAGCGCAGCTGCAATTGGTATAAAAAAAATTGTGAGAGAAAAACATTTAACGGTGTTGGAACAAAATAAATTTTTACAAATGTCTTTCAGAACTCATGCTTCACTTGAAATGGATTATTATATATCACAATTCAAACAATTTTCGCAATATTTAAAAAAAACATCTGGAATTTTTTTTTTTTTTACAACAGCCGATTTGGCAGTAAATAAAAATATATACTGTAACAGATTTGTAAAGTCTTTGTCTAGCAGTAAAATACTTGATGTATTTTAGAATCCACTCAATGAATTATTCCTATTATTAATAATTAATTTAATATCACGGTTAAACAGACCATCTTCTTTGGACCAACATTTTGATATCTCTGTAAACTAGCCTCGACAGCAACTGAAAAATATAATATAAATATATACATAATTTTAATTTGAACGTGAAATAACGTGATGACTGAACAACTTTAGAACTTACACACAGCGCCAAGACGTCGGCAGCCATAAGCATGTAGAAAACATTGTGCCATCCGTAATAGCTGGAGACAAGGCCAGCCAGTAGTGGCCCAATTGCGGCGCCTACGCTGCCCGTTCCGTCAATAATGGAGGTGACGGTTGCGAGAGCCTTCGCGTTGTTGCCCAAACTGGAATGTGTGCCTAGCTCAGCGGACACTGCGGTCGTTATAAGGGCGTAGGGTCCGTTCACTAAAAATCCTGCCGTGAGTAATAACAATACATTCACGCCGAAACTGACTGTGCCCAAATAGTCGTAAATAAAGAGCTGAAAAGTTGGAATACAAAACGTTTATTATGTAGTTGCTTCATCATTTTTTGCCTAAGAAATTTCAAACGATAGAGAATCTTTTTTGTAATTTAATTCAACGCTCTGAAATATATTCTCCATAAAATTACAACCTGTTTAATTACCTAGTGTTTCAAGACACTTTATCGAATAAACATTTAATAAGAAAGTTCTCTCACTAGTCCTGAGCTTGAAGGATTTGAAACATTTCTTCTATGGAAGCGTTCACAAATGATGACCATGATGACATGCACTTTTTTTATATTTCAGGCAATTTTGCGGTCTTTTGCATGAGAAAAATACATTGTATCGCACGTTTAGTAGAAACACTCAAAAAACGTGACATCATTTGTGAACGTTTCCCATCGTACAATGGCATAACCATAACCACAAAGTAGTATAAGAAACTTGCCTAATAATCGCTTTCTCTCCACAGTATTTTAAGAGGCTTCGCTCTTAAACTACTGATGGCTTTTTTATACTACTTCTCGGACTACTTACTGTAGGCACTGCAAGAGCAAGCATCACAGCACAGGTTAGAGCACTCATGCCAGAATAGTCCGACAGCATACCAGCTGCAATGGCCCCAAAAACTCCTCCAATGTCAAATACAGTTGAAATGTTGGCACTTTCTTTTGCATTGTACGTTGCTGTAAAATAATTTATAAGTCATCAACTAAAACATATTCACATAATATAACCTAGTTCATTTGTCGGGTCGAATTGTCGTTTAACCCTCCATCCGTCGCATGATGAGGACTTTCCTCACCCAGTTTCTTTTTTTATTTATAACTGCTAAAATACAAAAAATTATAATTCCATATTTTCAGTACCTTTCACAGCACACTTCTTCTTCTTCTTCTTTATATAATTATATTTTTATTTTTTTGTTATTGAAAATGGAAGTTAATTTTACTGCCAATAGGTTTCATAGAAATTCTAATGAACATTCCTAAAATATTTGGCATTTTATAACAATTTTGGACTAATTTATGATGGTGAGCAGTTTGCTCTTCTGCGACGACGGATATAGAGGGTTAAGTTTAAACCTAAAGCTTACTCTTGTACCCTTGTACTAAAGGTTTAGAGACAATTAAAATAAATCGCGTCTTTTCTAGCTTACTTTTGCTACTTAAAGTAGGAATTCTCCTAGGATTGCCAGTGACTATCCCTTTTCTAACTTATTTACTTATGCGTTTTAAAAGTACTCCACAATGCAATGTTCTTCCATTATCTATATCTATTAGAGCTGTTCATTATACATATATAAACATATCCGTGAATTTAAGCAATAAACAGAGAAAAATGGAAAAACGAGTTGGGGTACGATTACACGGCTTTTGGAAAAACCTTTCTCGCCTTTCTCTTTTCTACGACAGATTGGCATAAGTTTGTCTCACTCTAAATTTTCTTACTTTTTGTAGATTGAGACACATTTATGCGAAGCTAATGTTACATACATTAGCGTCATTTTTTCTGCTGGTCGTTCCCCTTGAAGTGGTTTTTGTTATTAAATTGTATGTATATACCCAAGCCAAACAAGAAAAAATCTTTCATTTATCTACAATATTAAAAAGTCAAGGCAAAATGAAGTTTTCAAATTTTTATAATTTTAAATCCTATTGCAAATAATTAATGGAAATTTAATTTTTTATACATTTAACAATCAAAATTCTTTTTTAATTTAACAAAAACATGACATTTGACTTTAATGAAGCATGCGCTAAGAGATTATTTATTATTTATTTTTGAGAAATAAGAAAAACACAGAACGCAATTTTCGATTTTAAATCGACTGTAAAACTTGTGTCCTTCATTAATAATTATTCAACAGATTTAATAATCATTTTATCATGACTTCGGTGTAAATTAATGTTTAAAAAATTAATATTTGAAGTAATTGAAATACTAACATGAAGCAGCAATGTAGAGTGGTATATAAGGAAAAGGAATATTCGAGAACTCCTGGAATATTGATTGCTCCTAGAAATCCTATGGGTATGTCATTTTTTGCATGTCTATTGATACATAGCATAGGACTCGTTTCCGTCCGTAGATTTTCCACTTCCTTTAAAAATAATTACTCGTTAGAATAATAATATTAAAATTCACCATAATAAAAATAGGTACTAAATTAAAAACAGCATAGAAATATATTTTATTTTGAATGTAAATAACTTATGAGTAACGTACTCTGAAGAAAGCTACCCAAGCAGCATTTAACATGTCTACAGTTTGCAGAGAAAGTGCTTACAATTATTTAATAAAACAATATTTCATTTCAAAAGAATAATGAAAAATCTATTATGAGTAACTTGTAATTTTTTGCTGCTCAGATACCTATCTCCAGAGCATACTATAAATATCCATATCTGAATGCAGCGTTACCACAGTAAATTGGTAAAATATTTTGCTGTCTGAAAAATTAACAACGCTCCTAACGCGAAAGAACATTAGCCACTGTGGGTGTCTGAAAAATAAATTATTACATAACCCCTGCCTACATATGGCATTTTGACCTTCGACGACTAAAGAAACTTTGGAGGTGGATCTACGTGATCTACACGGAGAAAACTGGAGGGTCAAAATATTGATGTTCAACCCAACTATTGTGATAGTTCAGTAGTCCTGATTTTATTTTTTGGTAGTCAAGAGAACTCTCCTTGTATATCTGTTTTGTTCAAGAAGACTAGAGACTATAAAGTGCCAACACATGCTTAACTGTATACACTGTATCTGTGTTCTTGAGTTAGTGTTTGTTTTTCGTCAGCTGTTGCAAATGACAGATAAAATATGTATATAGTTACGCATGTGTCGTCCTGTCTCTACACTCAGAGATCTTTTGGACTGTAGCGGAGCAACGTGTGTGACAGCAGCTCCACTATGGTTGTGGTGCGCTGCAATTTTGGACGCGTGACTGTCCAAAATGTGGGTGTTGTTCAAAGTGTCCAAAGTAGTGTTGTTGAACAACTTTTAGACAGTCACGCGCTCAAAATTGCACTGAATTGAACCGCAGCAACCCAAAAGTCTTGTATGACTTGTGTGACTATATTTAAATTTTAAAGTGTTGTTTACCCTGAAATATAGTTAATCGACACTCTAGGTAGTTTCTTCAAACCTCTATTCTTCTCCGTGTACTAGGTGTCCATGCCTATTATATGTACACTACAAAGCCCACGTAATTTAACTAGCGCTAAAAGTGCGGTGGTAATGCATAGTATTTAGTGATACAATAAGGGTTATAATAGTTATAATAGTGCAAAAAAAACCAAAAGTTTAATCGAGTACGTTCGAGTTGAACCGAACTTAATCAGTTTGAGCTGAAGTCGATCTATATAAAAAGCTCGTCGCATATGTTTTAATTAGTAAATTGAAAACTCATTTACTAATTACTTTATTGATTCAGTATACCGCATAAATTTGAAATTTTCTACTTATTAATAGTTTTTTGAGCAATTGAAAAGCTCGAATTCAATCGAGTACTCGATTTCACTCGATACATCTTTTTATCTAGCTATATACGAGCTTTTTGCTCAATTCAAGTTGAAATGCAAAAATTATTTTTATTTAAACGCCAACAAGTGTTCGACATTATTGCTGTTAAATTATAAAAAAATTGATCAACATGCACTTACATGAAAATCGCTGTGTTGGTGCCAGCCACGCCGATAAGCCACATTCTAGGTATAGAAAATGATGTTTTCT